CGGCCCCCGCTGCGGCCCCGGTCAGCACCGCCACCGGGTTCTCGTTCGGCGGCGCCGCGCCGGCGGCCAGCACCGCAGCAGCGCCCAGTTTCTCGTTCGGCGCCGCACCGGCTGCCTCAGCGTCCAGTTCCGGCGGCGGGCTCTCGCTCGGCGGAGCTGCAGCAGCCGCCAGTACGGCCGCTCCCAGTTTCTCCTTCGGCGCCACTCCGGCAGCGAGCAGCGCTGCCCCCCTCGGCCTGACGGGCGCGTCCACCGCCAGCTCGTTCGGTCTGGGCGGCGGCATTGCCACGTCAACGGCGACACCAGCCGCCTCGGCCCCCGCCGGAGGATTCTCCCTGTCCGTGCCATCGACGGCCGCGTCGTCGGCCGGCGGTCTGACGCTGGGCGCGGCCCCGACAGCTGCCTCTTCGGCTCCGGCCACAGGATTCTCCCTGGGCGCGGCGCCGTCGGGCGGGCTGTTCGCCGGGACGGCAGCGGCCAGCAGCACGGCGGCGTCGACTGCAGCAGCGCCGGCCACAGGTGAGCCTGACCCACTGGTGATCGGCGACCACAGGAGTGACACGCCAGTGTGCTGGCCGCTGGGCATTCGCTACAGCATGCCCCTAGTGTTGTTGCTTGTGATTATGTAAGTTTAATGCTAGCTTTGAAGGATGGTCATTCAACTTACCATGGTTTTATGCTAAGCTGCTATATTTACTGACTTTTCCATATATCACGGACTTAATTTTTTTTACAAGATATTTTTATCAGTTCAGCGCCATGGTTTGATTGATTTGATGCAACAATCATGAAAAATACAGAAGTACTCAGACAGATCTCATTTATCTTGCACTGGCTATTAGTAACTTACTGTCAGCCGCCTCCTACGTGACTGATGTCACTGACCTGGGGCTCCCCTCGATGTCTCCTCGCGCTGCAGGGTTCTCGCTGTCGACTCCTGCGGCCTCCAGCGGCGGATCACTAACACTTGGCAAACCTGCCAGCACTTCAGGTGGGTCTCTCACCGCACACGGGTACACCTCACTGACCCGCTGAACACTAGTGAACAAAGGCGAGCTTATTTGTCGTTCAGGCCGTTTGAGGAACATGTAGATAAATGCATACTCGGGTTTATCGATAGATCAAACAGGATCTAGTCGATATCAACCTGGTGACTGACGGGGTTGTGGCCTAATCTGTGGGCGATAGCCTATCTGGCGCCGCCGTGTGGTCCACGGGATCATTCGTTCGACATGCTGCCTGCAGGTACGACCACGGCGGCGAGCAGCGGTGGCTTCGGCCTGGGCCTGACCAGTACGGCCAGCGCACAGCCGGCGCAGGGCTCGACAGCCACCAGTCTCAGCACGACCACCACGTGAGTACGACATAGTACGGCACGGTACGTTACGACCACCACGTGAGTACGACATCGTACGGCACGGTACGTTACGACCGCCACGTGAGTACGACACCGCACGGCACGGTACGTTACGACCATCACGTGAGTACGACACGATGTGGTTCGTGGGTAGGTACGATATAACCACAGCGTGCGTAGTGCGTACGACACAGAGTGTGGCACGAAAAAGTACAACCACCTCGTGAGTACCTACACTCTACAGCTTAGGAGGATAGAACCACGTATGACACGGTACAACAAGGCATAGCACGAAAAATTGGTGGATTACGGTACATTACAATACGCCAAACCGTACTCATACTACGGCAGGGCATTGCGTGAGTATGAGACGGTATGACACGACGATTAAGTTAGGACAATAACGTCCTAGTATAGTCTCAGACATCAGTCTCGTGTTTCAGCAATGCTGTAACCATTAGCTGCATTCATCTTGATCTCAATCGATTGACTCGCTGCACGTATCGGTGAGCTGAAGCATGCTCAAGCGGTGCTCACTTCCCTGTGGCACCTTTTGCCTCAGAACGAGCGCCTCCACGCCTGGTTCGTCCATGACCTACCGCCAGCTGGAGGAGTTCATCAACAAGTCTACGGTCGAGCTGGAGGAACAGGAGAAGCTGCTGCTCAACCAGGCCACCCAGGTCAACGCCTGGGATGGACAGCTCATCAAAAACGGACAGAAGGTACGTATTCACGTGTGACATTGGATCTGGCAGAGGGGCCGAGTCTATAATCGTATTGTGTTTTTGCTCGTGATTTGTGACGTTTGTACCCTTTTACCCATATTTTGTCGTCTCGGGTGTTATTTCTAGAAACGATTTTCTTATTTGCATTGCAGCTTACCCATTCCAGCGACTTCTTTGGTTGAATTTTGCTTGACAACGGACGCCATGGCCGCCACGCCTAAATAATCTCTCACTGCAGAGTGTAGACTCAGTAGGGTAAGAGACACCTCTGGCCGTCCGTAGCTACGAGGGGCGTTCAAAAAGTTCTCGGCCCAACCATGAAGGAGTTGGAATTTCGGCCTGCAACGCGGTGTGTTCAATGATGTGTTATTGGGATGTCCACTTACGTAGCCATTAACCAATCTGCCCTGTGATTGGCTCAGGCTGCTAATTAATCGTAACATAGTTTGCTATTCCCGGTCAGAATGGGTGACGCCCAGAATAGAACAGTGATTTGGTTCATGTATTGCAGAAAAATGCACCAAACGTTATTCACGAAAAGCTAGTGCCAACACATGTTGAGGTTTGTCTTTCTTACAGTAGCGTCAAAAAGTGGGCATCTCTGTTCAATTTTGGTCAACAGATCATTAATGGTCACCCCCGCAGTGGCCAGCCATCAACAGCATTGACTTAAGAAAATATGAAAAATAAGCACTTCTTTGTGAAAAATGACAAATGTTCTGGTCTGAAACAACGCAGCAGAAGCGGAGTTGTGTATCAGGTCCCTCAAAGCCATTCTTCGACAGCGTATTAATATGTTAAAGATCTCTGCAAGATGCATCCCCCGTTTGCTGACTGCAGAGGAAAGGCAAACTCGAAAGGAGGCGTAACGCGAAAATTTTGGCCCCTATATCGAAGATCCAAAAGAGTTCATTGAAATACTTGTTACCGTGGAGGGATTGTGGGTGTCACACATTGACCCTCAGGGCGTGACCGAGTTGCAAAAGTGGAAGCACACTGAGTAAAGGCCACCAAATGTGTGCGACGTGTTAAAGTCAGACGGCAAGGTGACAGTGGTTGCATTTTTGGATGATGGCGGGGCTCTGCTCGTTAACTTTCTAAAACAGGGGCGCACAATTAATGATGAATGCTACACCTCCCTTCGATAACAGTAGCGAGCAGCAGATATCAAGGAGAGACTAGGGAAGCTGACTAAAAGTGTGCGCCTGATCCAGGACCACGCACCAGCACACATGAGCAGGGTGACGATCAGCAAAGCAGTGAGCTGTGGCTTCGAGTTGTTGTCGCAGCCACTTTTTTCTTCGTACCTTGCACCCTAAGGTTGCCACCTCTTCCCCAACATAAGGAAATTGCTTAGCAGTGGCAACTTCGCTGACAGCAAGGAGACAAAAGCAGCCGTCTTGGACGTGCCAGATGCGTCCAAAACCCACTTGGCTATGGAGACCCAGGGGCCTCTCGCGAAGCGCTGCGCGAAATATTTTTGTCTTAACGCTGGTTATTTGACTAAATGAACATTTTTGGTCTAATGAGTCGACGTCGTATCTCTGCTCCTTCATGGTCGGGCCGAGAACTTTTTGAACGCCCCTCGTAACTCCCTTCCCTCTCGCCAGATCACGGAGCTCAACAGCGCCGTGGAGCGGGTCAAGCTCGACCAGGAGCGCCTGGACACCGAGCTCAACTTCGTGGCCACTCAACAGCGGGAGCTGGAGGAGCTCCTGACCCCTCTGGAGCGCGCCGTCGAGTCGGCGGCGAGCGGCGGCGGGGCGCCCCAGCACGCTGACATGGAGCGCGCTCACACCTACCAGCTGGCCGAGAGCATTGACGCTCAGCTGAAGCGCATGTCGGAGGATCTGAGGGAGATGATTGAGCACGTGAACGCGGCCAACAAGACCAGGGATGATAACGACCCGGTGAGTTGGGAGGGGAGGTGGCGAGGGAGGATGGGTAGTTTGGTGTCGGCAATGGGGCTTCATGGGAACCGACAGGCGAGGGTGAGTGGGAATAGCTAGAGTTCGGCTGCCACCAGGACAAATATTTAAACCGCGGATACCGATGGTTAGCTGCTTACGTCGGTATCTTGTACTTGTTCATTGCCAGACTTAATTGTTGATCTATGTATATTTGATCGCCGTTTCCAATAACCTCAAGTATTTCACCTTCTCTTTTTTAACAGACTGTGGCGATCAGTGACGAATACATTATCCAGTTGTGAGCGATAACCCTCGTCCTGCGCCACCACTGACTGATCCTCCCTGCTCCACAGATGGTCCAGATCTCGAAGATCCTGAACGCGCACATGGACAGCCTGAGCTGGCTGGACGAGAACACGACCCTGCTACAGAGGAGGGTGGAGGAGACAAGTCGGCAGCTGGAGCAGCGGCGGCACGAGCAGGAGCGGGCACTCCGCGCCGGCTTCGACTGAGCGTCGGCGGGCGGGCTGCGAGGTTCGCGGCTGGCTGACGGACTCTGTTCCGCTTGTGGCCTGTGTGAAACCAGCCGGTTCGGTCGGCTCGACGTGTCGTCTCATTATGGTGGATGTCTCGCGCTGCGGCAGTGGGACGGAGGTTCTGTTTGTTCACCATGGGATAATTCGCCAATGTTTTCCGTGTGAACGCTTTGTGCGGATCGCCGATTTTCACCTCATCTGCACCCATCGTCTTTGGTCCCGAAAGTGAGGACATTGCCGGCGATATACATGAGAATGGACCTGCAAGGCGGGAGACGTGACGGATGACGGTGGATTATTTTTCTTATGGTATGGCTGAATCGAGTTCGCAGCGTAACATCAATGTTTCCAAGTTGAGCAGTGTCATCGGTGAACGTGTGCTGTTGTCATTTATGAAAATACAGGAACGCATTCAGACGTGATATTTGTTATCGATGACTGGTCTCTGCAACAATCTCATCAAAATATCAACAATAATTGAGTATTTTATTACAAAGCATATTACAAGATACAAAACATTTCACAAGGCGCAGCCTGCAGTCATGTGTCCTGTGGCTTGACTGGGCATTGGAGAACAATAAAGACGATTGGAATTTGATAAGAAGCAACTGGGTCAATTCGCTCCAGCTGAACATGTAGGCATTGTCTGCTATTGGCAGACCCTCCAGGCTCCAAATGTTTCCAAAATTTACTTTTCCACGACCTCACATTTTTAAATACAACGGTACACAAACGAGGCTAACAAAAGGACTAGGAAAACAGTTCACAGCACGATTGGCAGTCACGCTGACCCCTGTCACGGATGGAAATCTCTGGAGATCAGTCGATACAGATCACGTCATCATCACTACCTCCTGACTGTTTCGGCTTGGCCGGCTGGGCCGGTACCACTACAGGGGTGACTGAGATAGAGGCCGGTAGTTGTCCCATATCCACCGCCGGCCTCTGGCGCGGCAGACCCGCAGAGAACGACGGCCGGTTACGCGCCGGAGCCGCAGCCGTGGCCGGCGGAGCCCGCTGCGACCAGCCGGCTGATGACGAGTGCGCGGGGCGAGCGGCGCCCGCCATAGGCCGCTGAGGACCGGCTGATGAGTGTGCGGGCCGGGCCGAGCCGGCCACCGGCCGCTGGTTGCCGGCCCGCTGGGTGGGGGCACCGGCCGGCCGCGACGGCAGAACGCTCGGCGGTAGTTTCTGTAGCGCCACCACCGGCTGTCGGACGGCCGGCTGTCGCGCCGGCCGCTGGGAGGACTGGCGAGGCGGCGGGGGCGGCCGCGGCGCGCCGGAGGGAGCCGCCAGCCGCGGTCTGGACACCAGCCGAACCGGCGGCACCACTGGGGTGATGGAGAGTCCGCCGGCGGCCGCGCGGGCCAGCTCGGCCGGGATGGGGGCCGGCCGCGGCGCCGCCGACACCGGTGTGATGGAGATGTGAGACGGCAGCGCCGGCGCCGGAGCACGGCTAGGCGTCACCGTCATCCCGCTGGGAAGGCGCGGCAGCGGCGGCGGCGGCGGCCGGCTCCGGTACTGGCGCAGCAGCGCGGTGGCAGTAGCGGTCGGCCGCGGACGGGGTCGATCCCTGGCGACCGGTCTCGGCTGGGGCCGCGGCACCGCTGGAGTCAGAGACACGCTCGGAGTCTCCGCGGCCGTGGTGACAGCCGGCCGGGAGGTCGACAGAGGGGTGATGCTGACGGAACCGCCGCCGGCCGACACACTGACAGATACCTCCGACGGAAGACGTTCCGACGGAGCCGCCGCCTTCTCCGGCGTCTTCGAGACCGCCGCCGCGCTGGCTGACGGCTTGGTCGGTGTCACTGTCGCCACAGAGATAGACCCATCCTTGGTCGACGGTCTCGTCTCGCTGGTCGGAGGGGTCGTCCTACTACCTCCACTAGTCGGAGTGATGGTCATCCCCGGAGTCGCCTTCACAGCTCGCAGAGTCTCAGCCGCGGCCCGTCCGTCCTTTGGCGGCACCGGCGATACCGAAACCCTAACCGAATCGGAGGTGCGACCGGTGGCCGCCGACGCCACTGCCGACGCCGCGACAGATGCCGACGAGGCCGGTACCGATACCTCCTTCACCGTGAGCGACTTGGGCAGGGCCGGCAGCGCGGCCGCCGACGGCTGACCGTTCTCCGTCCCCCGGAACGCGTCAGAGAACCGAGGCTTGGCTGAGGCCTGTGGCAGCGGCTTGGATGTCGACTGAGACTTCGATATTGCCTGCGGCTGGGGCTTAGATGTCGGCTGCGACTGGGGCTTAGTTGTCGCCTGTGGTTTGGATGTCGCCTGAGGCTGAGGCTTGGGTGTCGCCTGAGGCTGCGGCTTGGCCGTCTGCTGCGGCTGTGGCTTGGTCGTCTGCGGCGGCTGTGGCTTGGTTGTCTGCGGCTGGGACGGCTGTGGCCGCGTCGGCGCCGCTGTTGTCTGAGGCTGTGATCGCGCCGGCACTGGAACCGTTGCCGTCTGACTAACCTCCTCCGATCTAAACGCGTCTGAAAAGCGTGGTTTCGCGGCCTGCTGCGGCGGCGGCGGGGTGGGTCGCGACTGCGCGGGGGTGACGGAAGGCGGGGGACTCTCCTGACTCACAGTGGTAATAGTGAGACCGGCGTGAGAGAGGGCCGCCAGCACGGACAAGTCAGCACCACCGGAGGCTGCCTGAGCTAACGTCCGACTGGCCGCCGTAGTCTCCGGAGCCGACCGGGCCGGCATAGGAGCTGGAGCTGAGACCGGCTGCTTAGCCGCTGGCGCTGGTGGCTTGGATGTCGAAGTCGCTGGTTTGGTAGCTGTCGATACCGCCGGCTGGGGTACCGTCTGTGACGGTGGTTTCGTAAGCGCTTCTGCCGTCGACTTGGGTACTGTCTGTACGGGTTCCACTGTCACCTGAGCTGGTATGGCTGGTGTCTGGGCCGGTTTGGCCGGCGTCTGCGCGGGTTTGCTCTGTTCGCTCGCCGGCTGTCCGGCCCGCTGCAGCTGCAGGAGTCGCCGGTAGTTGGCCTCCACGTCCGCCTGGACGGAGGTGGCTCGGCTGCCCAGCTGATCGGCCCACACCTGCTGCAGCTGCCGCAGCCGCTCGGCCTCCACCGCCGCCTGCAGCTGCCGTAGCTGGTCCTGCATGGACGGCAGCCGGCCGCCGGTGACGGCGGTGGCAGAGCCCGGCGGACGGCCGCGGCCACGGCTGCCGGAGAGGGGCGGTCGGCCACGGCGGCCCGTGCCGCGAGTCACGCCGCCGGAGCCGCGGGCCATCGGCGCCGGCCCGCCGGGAGCGCCCTGCCGGCAGACGGAAGGGCGGAATGTCAGAGCAGACTAGTGGTCAGTACTTGGGACTGTGGGATCAGTACAGACCGGACCGCCATCACATCAATCATCGGATCATCAGGCAGGAAGTTTGCAAAACGACACAATTGCCTTCAAGCTGACGCACCCTAGCGACCAAGAACCGTCAATATTTGTGGGATCAGTAACGCGAATTCTCGCTGGAGCAGCATAAACCGCGAGGACAGCGCATGTCCCTAGCCTAGCCCCTGCAGTGGTCATGCAGTGCACGCGCCAGTACTTCCTGACCTACCTGCATCTTGGCCTGCTGAATGGCGTTCACTTGGGAGCGGCAGTAAGAAATGGCCTGCTGCAGCAGCGGCGGCTCCGACTCAACCTGCAAACATGGGAACAGAATAAAGGATATCCTGATAACATAAAATGGTGACATCATTACATTACCTTAGATTAAATGACATCTCAAGAGCTATCTTTCAAAACAACATGGCAACAATATGTCTCCGAAATACAAAATATCAGCTAAAAGACTAGACAGTGCATTCCACCCTTCCCAAGTCAACTCCAACCATAATATTTTATTAGATCATACCTTGCCGCCCCTGAACAATTTGTACGTCTCCTCCAGAAGTCGCGCGATCTTAGGTCTCCGCCGCGGCCGCATCCCTGCATGGGTCTCATAGAGGCCTAGCAGGAAGTAGAGCCGCCTGGTGCCCGACACGGGAGACTGAGCTTTGAACAGTCGCCGGAAGGTGGCGCGCGCACACTGCAGGCCCATGTTGAACGCGTGGCCGGCCAGCTGCTCGCGCTCCGCGTCCCGCAGGTACTTCCTGTGAGACAGCAGTGAGGATCAGTGGGTGCCGACTTGGCGACGCACACCCGGGGCAGGGCGGGTAAAGGTGAGAGAAGGGATGTGCAACTGCGGGGTGTGCTCAATAGTATCTTTTTTATATAGCACTTTATTAGTTGCAACTAAAGAATTCAATGCTCAGTAAATAAGGGACACTCAACCAACAATAAGCACGGCAAGGCATGCACTAACTAACCAGCCGGCCACCACTACCTTACCACAGACGAACATCACCATTAACCACGGAGAGACACCAGGAACAAACAACGGAAGAACTTCCGTACCACCCAGCACCAGGCAGACCCAATGCCCACCATCGGCCTTAAGTCTCCCGCAGCCCCCAGCCACCCACAGCACCCCAACCTCCTACACGTACTTGTCATCGTCCGGCATGGGCCGGAGCCAGTCGGAGAGCTGCAGCAGCGTGCGGAAATCGTCCGCGGCGCGCAGCACGTCGGCCAGCAGCGACACGGAGCGGTACATGTGCGCGGCGAAACTTCCCGGCCGGTCAATGTCCTCGATCGGAATACGCCAGATGCCCTGCGGAAAATGGGTGGGGGTGGGGGGTGGGGGGGGGGGGGGGCAAGCTTACACAATCGGAAGGGGGCTGGTTGTTGTTGAGTTTATGATCACTGGAGTGTGATCCTGATCATAGATATCTAGATTGGGCGGCTGAGCTCACTGGGAGGGAGAAGTGCTGGTCAGAGCCCGCTCTGTCAGACAAAACAGTCGATATCTAGCATTTCCCTGAGTATGCAGAAAATTAATTTTACATGTGGTCAAGGACTCGAGGCAATTTTAAAACAAACAATGAAGACTTTCGGTACGACCTGGGTGTCATAGCTTAGCTGGACCTACACTAAACAGAATTGAACCGTCCATATTTCGAGTCAATCAAAACCAAATACCAAACGCCCCTGCCAGTCACACATCATAGCCATTACACAGAGCGCTGCCAATAATCAGTCTCAGTGACTCACATGGAAGAAGTTGTTGGGTTTTCTCTCGGCGAACAGGCCAAACGTGGGCATGTGGCTCTTAGTCTGCCAGTCGGCACAGCCGAGCAGCAGGTCACGTGCCCAGTCCAGATGTCTGCCGGGTCAAAAGAGAGGCCCATCACGTGACCGACGTCTGACACAACTGGTAATGTTCACAGTCAAGGCAAAATTATGCTACAACGGGCAACGGTTGTCGTAAATAAATTCACATCGGACAGAGCTCTATCCAAAGCGTCTGTTTCTGTTCCGTTCCTTGTCTTCTACCCTTCAAATGATCCTTGCTATCTAGGTAAGCATAGGTACTTCACGCCCAAATATAGTTGAAGTTGAAGCTGTCCATGGAAAGAGGCCCCTTTCAAAGGACCTGCGACTTTCCTCGCTTCCACTTTTACTTTCCCTCCACGATATGGAGTTATTCTCAAATAAGCGCAGATTCAAGCAAACATAGTACGTACACACACCGTTCCGTCAATTTCATCCTCAGGACAGTCAAATCCTTCTCCACGCCTCAACCTCCAGGCTGGACGGGCAACTTTATCCCATGCGGGAATGTCCGTTAAGAGCACGCCCGTAGCCGGGTGCGGTAAGTGCTAGGGGGCTGGTTGGCCTGTCCTCTGGACGGGATCAGCCCTGGCACTCACCAGGGTGCTCGCCCAGGCCAATGTCTCCCCCTAATTCCTATCATCTTTCCGGCCCTGGAATGGTTTCGTCAGACCGAAAGGGTCTACCCCTCCCCCAAAAAACATAGTTCACGACAAAGGTGACCTTAGCGTTGCATGCACACTACACACGAATCCGTGAGTCCCATAAGACCATAGTAAAGCTATCCAGACGAGACTGACCGGTTGGTTTTGCTGGTATAATAGTAGTGCGCCAGTCTGTAGACAGACTTGTAGTGCTCAGGGAACCGTTTGATGACATGGTGCAGCGCCTCCACGCAGCGGGCCACCAGCCGCCTGTGGCCGGGGTCGGGCTCCTCCTCCTTCGCCGCCGGGGCCGCCGGGGCTGCTGGGCGACTGTCGTCGCTGAGCAGGACCACGTCATCGTCAGAGACGGCCTCCGCCGCCGTCGACGATGCCGCAGCTGCCGGTGCCGCCGACGGTGCAGCTCCCGACGCCGTCACTACCGTTGTCGGAGTCGACGCTGATTGAGAGGTAGAAGCAGACACCGGAGCGGCTCCCTCAGCCGCCGGCGATGGACGCTGTTCGGTCCCCTCAGCTACCGTCGGCGCACGCTCCTCGGTCGATGCCGGTGCTGGGGTCGCGGACGCGGCTCCCAGGCCCTCCTGCTCACTGGGTGGCTCGAGTCCCGACAGTCGCGCCCGCGCCTCAGATACCGCCGACGCCAGGATCTTGTGCGAGAGCGTTACCTGCCGAGGGGAGGTGGACGCTTGCTTATGAACGGGAATTACCCGCCCTCACTCAGGTACCGGTCACAGCCTTGACTCGATATTTCGTATAGGAAACAGCCCGCAACTTATCTAAAAAACTTAGTTAGTACAGGAAAACGGGCCTATCATCATTCAAATTAAATACAACAAAACTTACACAAAGCATCGCAAAAAATGCAATAGGTCGGCTAGGTTAACAGAAATACAATTCTGGAAGCTAAAATTTGGTGATAGGCTAGGTCACACACCTGATCTTTCTGAACCCGTCTGTCACCGCACGTCGTGGGGCTGGTTCTTAGTTCTTACCGCGCAGGTGGCCGCTGCCTCGTCCAGTTTGAGTCGCTTCACCTCCACCGGGTCTTCGGAGCAGGACGGGTCGCGCTTCCGCTTCAGCTCTCCCTCACGCTCATTCTGCGGCTTTCTGTGGGCGAAATACTCGTCAGTCCCACACAACGAAAGGACACAACACTGAAAACCATGAACAATCAAATAACACAGGCAAAGGCTAGGAGCAACTGCAGAAAAAACCTGCAGTTTATCACAGACCAATCATCCTACTCACGAGTTCCGAGTGAGAATTAGCGAATATAATTACATGGGATGTCGAACTAACAGCGGAGGTTATTCATGCGGCGTTTAACTCACATCGGCAGCGCGCTCTGCTCCATGGCGTCCAGGTGCCAGACGATGGCGCGCCGCACCTCCCCGTCCAGGGCCTGCTGCTCGTGTTGCAGCAGGTACTTGAGCACGGTGGCGTGTGTGCGGTAGTACACCTCGAGCGCCTCGAGCGCCTGGTGCGGCGGCGACTGATAGTTGATCTTCCGCGGACACTCGGCGTCGCGCAGCAGCTCCTGAGCCTGGCGACGAACATGTGAGGATGATGTGTTGGTTTTTGGGACATCCAGACTGGTTTGGTTAGCCGGGCGCTCGCGGCAAAGACAGGTGGGTGGTTAGATTACTGCTGATTAGGGGTACCCATTTTTGGGTCAATTTTCCAAATTTTAGGTGGGGGTGGATTTTCCCATTATTTGGTCTATTCTGATTCCACCTGTGCCAAAAATACCGAAATCAAACGATTTCTAGGGGTCGCGAATTCAAAATGAAAATGCCAATTTTAGCGAAAAATAGACAAAATTAATGCTATTTAATTTTGAAACAAGATTACCATGCCAAGAGGTTGGGGTCAATTTTCCCATTATTTGGCCTATTCTGATTCCATCTGTGCCAAAAATAACGAAGCCAAACGATTTTTGGGGGTCACGAATTCAAAATGAACATGTTAATTTTAAGCAGAAAATCGACCAAATTAACATTGTTTTATGTTGGGACAAGGTTACCATGCCAACAGGTTGGGATCGATTTCATCATTATTTGCTCTGTTCTGGATCTATAGCAGTGACAGAAATAATGATATTAGACCACTTTTATGGGTCGCGAGCTTGCATTGGAGTTTTAATTTTAGTGGAAAAATGATTTTATTTGAACGACTATAAATATGCAAAGCCAATGTGTTGCAGTGGTATTAATGACTGTTAGACACCGTGCAACATTGCTTTAGTTGTATATTCGACGTGCAGCGGTAAAAGAGAGCACCAAAAATATCATTTTGGTCAATGAACAGCATATGCTCATTTACACTCACTCTGGCTTAGACCGTCATTAGTAGCTAAAGACCGCAACTCTTAGAACGAATGGCTATGTAGTCAGGAGGGTCAAAATCAGCGATCGAAGCTTTCTCATTGGGACCACCTAATTTTCAATGAGTCGTCTCATTCAGCAAAGGCAATGACCGATCCCCAGGACATGAACATTGACCTATCGATACAATCTGGGTTTGAGTGGCATTAAAAACCGTTACGGTATGTGACGATACAACTCGCATGCCGTATTTTAACGGAAATATGGCAGATAAACAAGTTATCAATTGCTTCTGTAATCTGTATATCTATACCGACATAAAAGCAGCACTCAGCTATGCCGGTATGCACGTCTGATGACCTTTGCCAATTCGCTAGCCGAACTCCCCGAGTCCCGGAGTTGCAGAGACAGCTGAGGGAGGGGCGCAAGCTTCACACCACCGTCGGGTGGCTGCTGTATGAGTGTAGCTTTGCCCCTGCCCCACAAACACCCAAACCCGCACACAGCATGTGCGTTTGTGCATATGGAAAGGAAGCTGGCCAAGCACACCAAGGACGGTAACACCGAAACTCCATCCTCACCCCATTATGAAAGAAATATGTTTGCAATTTTGCTGATGACGGACAGCACTGGCCTGGCCGAACGCGTGCACGACTGCTCGTGACTCCAGTTCTGGGCATGTGCCACTCCTATACCAGCTGATGACTTGAGACGGGTGCAGATATCATGTTATGGAGCCATGGTGCCTGGTGACGGCCGCTGCCAGCAGTATCCTTGCAAGATAACGGACCTTACACTGCACACTGCACTCTACAGGCTCAGTCCAAGCCCTCAGCAGATGCTGAACTGAAGTCGACGAATGCCATTGCTTAAAGCTGAAAATTAGGAAGGTGCCAAAGTCTAGACGGCTCAGCCAACTCCGAGGCAGAACCGTTTACTGACTCCTGGCATTGGCACGCACACTCCCTTATATGATGCGTCCTGGTATGTACCACCATACGGCCCATGCAGGATGAAAATATCCTGCTACATTAGGTTCTTCAGACTCAGACGCCAAATAGGTACCTGAGATCACAAGTGATCTGTGCAAGAAGCTGTGAAAGGTCTTCGTCACATATCAACCATGCACGTATCAGCGCATGGCTAGTCGCGTGTGGTCGAATATGAACTCGTAAATGATCTGCAGTTGTATCGGAAACTCTTCCACAAGAACGGTGTGTATCTGTCCCCACTGAAGAAATGGAATAGTACGTACATGGTTGGTGGGCGTGGAAAGAATCGACGCTTTGAAGTTTATGTTTTCGGATTAGAAGTTGATATTTTTGGGTAGAACACCCAGATTTACCCTACTCTGTCTCAGAGGTCTATTACATCGTAGCCGTGAGCGATCAGGACTGCGTTTCTTGTGGAAGCATACGGTCAAAATGGTTTGATCGTTTTCTAATTACATGATTTGAGGTCCATTCGGAGCCATGATCTGTGAGATGTATCCTGAGCTTATTTGCACGGACACAAAGAGCCTGTCATGAACTGAGAGTGGCAACTGAAAGGTCACATTTTAATTTGACGTCACAGGTCATCAAAGGCCACCATTACAACTCATGACCTTCAAGAGGCAGAAGATATCAAAAATGATTACACGCTGACCAGAATGATACCAACAACAGGAGCAAAACATCCCGGGCCGGGATGTTTGCTCCTGTTGTTGGTCGCCGGGATTCCCGGTTTCACCAAATGTTACAATATCGACATCGTAATAATCGCTAGTAAAGCATTTAACCGGAACCACGTGATGGAGCACATCGATCTGGATGAAAAAGGAGCGCTCAATGACCCCTCAACCCGACTTTCAAAACAAAAACTTTGCCTTTAGTGTGATTTATTATCAGCGTAAAATAGGCATATTTCTAGGTAAATACGCAAATTTCAATCTCAATTCGCGACCCCTAAACCACCTTTGATTTCAATATTTTTGGCATCATTGGAATCACAAGCCGCGAAATAATGGGAAAAACCACCCCCACCCACAAATTTCCAAAATCGGGAAAAATGGGTACCCCTACTGCTGATAACCAGTTACATAATTATTAGGAACGGAGACGGGCGGTAAATGTTCCTCTTAGCGTGCCAGTCAGTTGTGATCAATAATCAAACTCTCGTGAGTGAGATATACTTTCTTTGGGCGACTCGGGATATCCCGGCCGGAGTATAGAAAGAATCCGAAAAGCTAAGGGAACAAACCGATTCACCGTCTACCAGGATGGATAGACAGCCCACTAACCTTCTGATAGTGAGCAAGCACCCGCTGCACGGGCTGGTCGTCTTTGCTGGCGATCTTTCCGAGCATGTAGTGGTGGAGCCAGCGGTCGTCGTAGAACTCTCCGTCCTCCATGGCCGCCTGTTCGACAGCCACCTCCTCGGCGCGCTGGAAACACTCGGCCGCCTGGCCGGCCATCCGCGCGGCGATCGCCTCCAGCCGGCCGAAAGTGGCCAGGTCCAGGTCACCGCTCGACTCCTGGGACGCGGCGGACGCGGGGTAAATGGTCAGAGAAGGTCGTTGGCTATGATGTGGTTACATATTCACCCATAACGGAAACAGGTCCTTCACGTAGAGAATAGAAACAACACACAACTCTCAGGCTAGTTAGCGACTCATGGAAAGGGATAACATCTCCAAACCACAAAAAACAAAGATGTACGATTTATCTTAACAAAATCAGCGTTCAAAACGAGCAACAGACAGTTCCAGTAATATAAAAAAAGGGATCACCGTCAGCCAACTGACCTGTCTGAGCAGCCGGTTGGCGTGCGAGTTGAGCATGTAGGAGAACGTCCCGAACTCGAGCCACAGGTCGTGAGTGCTCGGATCGAGTTCCAGCGCGCGTTGATAGCAGCGCACGGCCGCCTCGACGCGGCTCCACAGCTCTGGTGCGTCCTCGCTGGGCCGGCGGCACAGGTTCAGCTCGCGGCCCACTTCCGAGGCGCGTGTTAGCGCCATGGCCGCCCATGAGTCGCGCCGCTCCGGGTTGATGCACAGGTCGCGCGCATAGAACTCGAGCGACTCCAGCTGAGGCGCGATCGTCTCCCACTGGCGGTTCTTGAACCGGAAGTCGGCCACAAGGTAGTAGAGGTTTTTGGTGACGCTGGTGGCGGGCAGCACGGCCGGCGGCGGCGGGCGCTGCTCCTCAGACGCCGTGACAAACTCCTCCAGCGCGCGCCACAGTCGGTCCGGCGAGCTCTCCTCAGGAACCAGTGCCATGACGCGCTGGAACAGCGCCTCATCGTCGGCGGAGATGCTCAGGTCGCGGTACGAGTCAAATCGCGGCAGCTCACACGGACAGAAGTAGTAGTAGAGCAGCTGCGCGCGGGGCCAGGTGAGCGTCACTGGTGGAACGCCGTGATCCTGCAGATCCCGAGCCGCGCGCCGCCTCTCCGGGTGGCCGTACAGGCAGAAGAAGCACTGCTCGAGCTCGCGGCGGAGCTGCTCGTCGTACGGCAGGTCGTCAGCGGCGTCCAGAGCCGGCAGTAAGTGGTCGACACTACGCAACAGCAGCGCACCGCCGTCCGTGCAGCACCACGAGCGGGCGCCCAGCGCCTCGTGTGCCTCCACGAGGAACCGCAGGGCGGCCGGCATAGTCCGCGGCCGGCCACCGCCGGTAGGGCCAGAGCCAGACGCACTGCGCTCGGCAGTGGCGATAGCGTGGTGCAGCAGCAGCCACGGCGTCACCGTCTCCAGAGGCAGAATGATCGCGTCAGCGCAGTTCAGCTGGTGAACGGTGAGGTGGAGGAGATTCTCAGTCAGGCGGCAGCGGCGCGGCGGCTCCAACGTCTCCATCCAGTCATCACCGCGCTCCAGACAGGCCTGCAGGGCGGCCAGCACCCCGAGCAGCGCGTCCGCCCAGCACGCCCGCTCGGCCGGCTCGTCCAGCGCCAGGTACGACTGGAGCGCCTCGTGCAGACACGACTCGGCGTAGGCGGCCAGCTCGCCGCGCGGCCGCTCCAGTCGCTGCAGCGCGTCCACCATCATCAGCAGCTGACGGCTGCGGTGCGGCAGCGGCTCGCCGCCAGCTGTCGGCTGCGGCAGCTTCACCGCCGAGCCGGAGCCGCCGAACGTGTCGGCCAGCACGTCTACTACGTCCTCGAGCCGCTGCTGGTCGTACAGCCGCTGCAGACTGCCCAGGTCGTGCACGCGCTGCAGCGAGGCCAGCTGCCGCTGCACCGACTGCTGAGAGATCAGCCGCTCAGTGGCAGCGTTGGCCAGACGGACGGTGGGTCGTCGCTCGGCCGGGGTTCGCTCGTACCACTGTTCCAGCTCGCGCAGTTGCGCCATGGCCAGCGGTGCATCACCCTGCAGTCGGCACAGCTTGCTGGAGCACCAGCCGAAACGGAGCAGCGTGGCGGGTTGTTTCTTCTCCAACACATCCTCACGGTGTACGAGGAATCCCAGCCAGGACAGCTCCTCCTCTGCCAGCTGAAGGCCCTCAGCGCCGGCGCCATCGGCCAGACTACAGTCGACGCGCAGTTCTGCGTACAGCAGCGCCAGCAGCACCTGTCGGCGCAGAGCCGGCGCCGAGTCGGCCGTCACCTCCAACTCGAACGGTTCTGGCCGGGTGGTGTGAGGCCGCGCCAACTCATACAGCTCAGTGAACAGCTCAGCGAGGCCGGACGGCCAGCGGCGGTCCCTGAGTGTCTCCAGCATGTCCAGGTACGCCCAGAGCAGGCGCACTGCGCCGCCGTTCTCTGCGTGCGACGCCACCCAGGCCAGCACGGCGTCACGCTCATCCTCAGAGAGTGGTACCGGCTGGTCACCACCGTCCCCGGCCAGATCAGCAGCCTTCCTTCGCGGAGAGGCCTCGCCAATCTTCATCGAGGAGCGGTCGTAGCGCAGAGCGGCAGGAATCAGCGCCGAGAATGTCTCGCGGTGGTTGGCGACCTCATCTCCCCCAGCTGGCTCCTCGTAGCGCAAACCTCCAGCCGTGCGTGAGCGCTTACTCCGCCGCTTCTCTGCCGGGTCATTACGCGGCCACATCTTCAGTGAGTCGAGAATGTTGCGTTTGCGCTTGCCGCCCCGTCGTCGGCCGGCGGCGGGAGCGGCTGGCTCCGACTCGGCGCCTGTGTCGGACGCCTGAGCGGAGCCGGCCGTCTCCGCGCCGGCGCAACTGTCGTCAGTAGGATCCGGCTGATCCACGCGGGCCGACTCCGCGCCTCTCTCCTCACCTGAGGATTCCTCACTGCCCCGTGCGTCCCTCTCCCCCTCCTCCGTGGATGTACCGCGTCTATCCTCAGCTGAATCGGCCCTCTTCTCGCTCTCAGCACGATGCTCGCTTTCGGCAGACACTTGTCGTTTTTCCTGGTCGCCACTCTCGGCGGCAGTACAGTCATCGCCTGACTCCCCGCTGGTACCGCGATGCTCACCATCTTCCTTGTCACTAGAAATGGTTGTTTTCACGTCAGTTTGCGGTTTGTCTGCCGCTTCTTCACTGGGCTGGCGTTCTTCCGCTGCGCTCTCATCACTAGGGTTGCGTTCTTCCACCGAGTCCCCACATCCATTCTTATCCTGATCAGCCTGGTGTTTCAGGTTGGCGTCATCAGGTGCTTCACGGTGTTCACTTTGAGGAGTGCCATCGTCGTCATCATCCATTTTATTCTCTTCCACTTTATCATCAGCTTTGTCCACGGTGGCATTATCCTTGCGCCCCGGTTCCTGATCTTGCTGCTCTTTATCTTTTACTTCAGACCCCGGATCATCTATTTCACCCAAGCTCGTTTCCTGATCTGCGCAATCCACGCTCATGTCTACGTCTTGGTCTATCGCTGTACTCGCCTCCTCTTTCTGTTGCTTAGTATGCTCCGCGTCCATACCAGGTGATCTTTCCACCATTTTCTCCTCCGAGAGTACGCCCTCGTTAACGCCAAGCGGAAGCGGATTCTCCTCCTCGTACACAGATGACTCTAAAGACTGAGCAACGTCGTCTTGACTCGGTCCGGTTTCGGGGGACATCTGCACAGAATCATCACCTTCATCCTGTGGGGAAGTGGGCGATTGTTTCTCTGCTTCAGCGCCATCGCCTCTGACCTCTACTGGACGGTCCGTATCCATCGGAGCGGGTTTGTCATTCGTGTTTAAGCTATCTACAACTTCGGCATCTAAATGCTCACGTGGCTGTTCGGAGTCATTTTCAGGATGAGTTTCATCAGCGACACTTTCGGTTTGCGCTTCAGGTTTTGGATCATGAGTTTCGGATTTTTCCACTTTCGGGTCATCAGCTTCAGGGAAATGTTCTTTCGGACTATCCGTTTTGGGAACCTGTTCTTTAGGAGCATCAGCCTCGAGTGCTTGCGGAGCATCAGCTTCTTTGGAGAAATCAGCCTCGGGTACTTGCATCTTGGGAGCATCAGCTTCGGGTGCTTGCATCTTGGGAGCATCGGTTTCGGGGGCTTGTGCTTGGAGAGCATCACCTTCGGTGGCTTGCGTCTTAGGACTATCAGCTTCGGAGACTTGAATCTTAGGACTATGAGCTTCGGAGACTGGCGTCTTAGGACTAAGAGCTACGGATACTTGCGCCTTCGGACTATAAGCCTCGGGGACTTGCACTTTCGGAGTATCCCCTTCGGGGACTTCCGCTTTCAGAACATTTTCGGCGACTTGTGCTTCCGAACTATCAACTTCATGGGCTTGTGCTTTCTGAGCATCAGTTTCAGATAAGAGTGGGCTAGGGGCAGGCTTCTGATCTTGGTCTTGTTTCACAAACAGTGCAACGCTAAGGTCATGTTTTCGTTCTTCTTGATTCGATTTCGAAAACAACTCCTTGATAGAGAGCTTGGTATTCGAGTGCAGCGCCTTTTCAGCAGCCCTTCTTTCATCAGCTGCGATACGAACGACGCAATTCGCATTCTTCGCCGCAGCAATATCACTAGCTTTCACTTCTTTTCCAGTTTTGGGGACGGATATGGCCTCCTTCAGAGATCGTGCCCTCCGGCGGGGCAGAACACGTCTGACAGGCTGTATAGCGGAAACCCCACAGCCAGTCTGCACTTCTTCTGTTTTACCCGCCTGGGGGTTGATTACAGGAGGTTTATCTTTCACGCCTGGGGGCTCTACCTCAGTGCCAATTTCACTGCCCATTGTACCATCCCCACCAGCACCAAGAAGATAGTCTTTAGCAGTCCTCTCGGAGGCGGAGCTGGCGTCAGCAAAACACACAGAGCTCTCCACTTCTTTATGAATGGCTGGGCTGGCGACGGACTGAGCTGCCGGACTGGCGACGGATTGAGATACTGGACTGCCAACGGACTGAGCAGCCGGACTGCGGCTTAGCTCGCCTGCTGGACTGCTAAGCAGTGGAGACTCTGGAGTGGTCACTCGCTGACCGCTCGGGCTGCCAGCCTGGTCCGGTCCGGGACTAAGCACGCGTCGACCGTCTTTCGAGTCGCGCCCAATCCTGAAACTCTTCAGCTTGGCCAGAAGTCCGGAGCGGCGCGGCCTATCTACCGAGGACTTCACTACGGTAGCCGATGGATCAGGCTTGCCTTCGTCTGATTTAGGGATAGCTAATGATGGTTTTGAATGTGTTGACGTCGCAAGGCCATCTCCACCCACACCTCTACCATGTCCTGAAGCATCAGTGCTTCTCTGCACGTCAGACAGTTCCAATTTGACAGCTCTCTGGGGATCAGCCGTCAAACTGTCTCGGCTTTCTGCCATCTCCTCCGATACTTTCCGCGATCTATCACCTCTGTCCGAGTCAGCATCTGAGTCTGTTAGCTCGCCCTCTTCGTAGGAGGACACACGACGCGTTGTCGTCTTTGGCGGAGGGGGAGGCGGCGGCGGGGGAGGCGCGGGAGGCGACTCAGGCGGTAGTGGCGGTGGAGAGGACGGCAGAGGAATATCTCGTACGGAAACATCCAACCGGGACTGTTCTCCACTCCTGCTATCGTCTCGGGATGCTCGCCGCCCTGGCGACTCGGCGTCTTCATCCGCGGACCCGCTGTCGGATCGAATCTCACCCTCCTCCGGGTCACTGCAGGTGGAACGGCGCAGGGCTGAGGTGGCTGTGAACGCTGAGTGCCACGACTCATCGAAACTCACTCCTGACGGAGGAGGAGAGTGGACGCTGCCTGTCACCTCAGCAGCACCGGAGGAGGAATCACGAGACGCGGACACTGGCTTCTGACTGACATCACTTTCCTTTGGTGGAGGTGGCGGGGGCGGGGGCGGAGGTAACGGTGGCGGCGAGGGCGGCGGCCGGACCAGCTCAGCGGCTTCAGCGGTGGAGTCATCACTCGATGCGTCATAATCGCAGAGTATCGGCCTGGGAGTGCTAAACACAAGAGTCGACCGGTCAGCGGACGGCGTTTCCGAACCGCCGTCCTCCGACTTCACATGCGGTACTGCTCCCGGGGACGGGTGATCAGTTTCCGCGGCAGCTCCCGAGCCGGCAGCAGCATCCTGCCTAGTCACTGGTGGCTCACTCGCTTTCAGTGAATCACCCTGGTGGCCAGTCACTGCAGCCACCTCACTCGTCTCATGAGCGGCGTCTGGCGAGCCGTCTTTTTCAGACGCGGAGGGACCGCCGGTAGTCTCATATTTCACCTCTGCAGATTGAGTGGGTACGTGAGTGGTAGGGATGGTCCTATTATTTTTAAAGTCAGGCTCAGTCACGTTCTCAGCACACACTGTCTCTTGTTCAAGTACCTGCACAGACGGCTCAACAGAGGCATCACCTCCCGCTTGTTTCGATGTCATTTCAGAGTCTGTCGATTCGGGCTTTATCTCTGAACATTCTTTCAACTTTGGCCTGTCACCGCCTTCCACAGTCTCTTTTGAGTCTCGTTTACTTTCTTCACTAGGATCAACCTGTTCTTTGTCACTCTTCAATACATCAACGTCCGCAGGGCAAGCCTCTGTCGGCCCTTTCATATTGACATCATCATCACTTACGTCTCCAGTATCACAGGCGGTTGCCGAGTTGTCCGAACGCACTGGTTCGGGTGACGTTGCGACTGTCCTAGGACCTTCCACTGGCGTCGGTCTAATCTCCTCAGGCTCGGCGCTCGCCACCTGACCGCCTTCAACGGCGGACGTCTCTACCGCAGCGCCACACTCAGCAGGGCTATCAGTGTCCATTGGCTCAAACTTGCTCTCCCGCTGCTCGGCACTACTAACCGCGGAGATGTCCTTTTCCGATTCAATCCGCTCGGTGTCGAGAACCTTGGAATCACTGGCACATTTATCATCGGCCGGAATCTCAGAGGGCGTATGAACAGTAGCCGGCGTCACAGCATTATCCCCAACCTTAGCCACAGCCGTTATGACATCACCGATTTGAGTCGTATCACCGCCCGCCCCCTGGTCTGTCTCCATCGCTTCCGGCACAGTCACCGTCATGCCCTTTCCCACACCCTCAACAGAAGGTTCGTCACTGCTCGGCTCCGCCGTTCGATCATTCTCCGCACCTCTGTCGTTCCCAGACTCGCTGCCGCCTGTCGCCTCCTTCCCCACATGCTCACCCCGTTCGGCCGTGCGCTGGTCACTACTCCTCTCCGCCTTCTGATCACTGTTCGTCCCTCTATCGTTTCCTGACTCTCCTCCCTTCGCTCCCGGGTCCGCCTCCATCGCTGTCACCATCGTGTCCTTCCCAACATTCTCACTCCGAGACGTCACACGCTCTTCACCACTCCCATTTACCGTCCCTCTATCATTTCCAGACTCTCCCCCACCCGTCCCGTCCAGATCCAGCCGGCGTCGGACGGTCTCCTCGTCCCGGAAAGTGACGTGTCGGCCGGCGGCGCGGCCGGACCGCGTCTCCTGCTGCTCCCCGTCGGGCGGGGGTGGGGGCGGCGGGGAGGCGGCTTCACCCCGCTGCAGCCGGGCCAGAGTGGGCTCCAGCTCGACAGGTGACAGCAGGCTCTGTCGACAAACGGGAGAGAGTCAGGAGTTGCACAAGGACCGAGGTGAAGCGACTGTAGTGCATGAGTTACATGAAGAAAACCTGTCGTCATCATTCAACGGCAAAATTTCGCAAATTAATGCGAAAAAATGGTACCAATAAGCTTCAATCGATGACGATACCATTGACCACGTCGACCCGTAACGAGCCAACAAGCTCAGCTTTCCGACGTAGTTAGTTCCTTGCGGGCTCACCAGGGCGGCGCCACCGTCGGTGACGTGTTTGTAGAGGTGCAGCAGGCTCCGCCCGACCTCCTCCCAGGAGGCGGCGGCTGGCGGTCGGCTCAGACTGAGCGGCGCCAGCGGCCGCGGCCGGCGCTGCTGCTCCCGCCGCTGGCTGCGGAGCGTCACCGCCTCCTTGGTCAGTCGCTCGCCGGCCGCCGGGTCGTACTCCCGGCCCGAGAGGGTCGAGTCACTGCGGAATGCATTGGGTTGGGGGTCATACTGCGGATCAGTCACTGCGAGAACAGTGAGCAAATTGCGGCCAGAAAATCACCTGAATATCAATGAATATCAATGAATATGAGCCCAATAGTTCTGATGCCAACACGTCGAATAAGAAAGTGCGGTTTATCAGCTGGCCAGATCGAGCCATTAGAGCGTTACGGCAGTCTTTCATGCCCCTCTTCATCGCATCCCTCCATTCACAGCTCATTCGATGTGCTGCACGCACGTCACACAGTGCACACAATAAACTCGTGCCCCTTCGTTTCTCTGAAAGCCCCAAACGCTCCACTCAGCTCAGCACCCATAACCTTTTCCCGTATCTACCTAACCACGCCGCTCGCCACCGTCCATGACCAGCCCGATCTCTCTCCACAGTCAAAAGCAGGGCCGCGGAGTCGATGGATTTTAGGGTGACTCCGACTCCGACTCCGACTCCGGCTTCAAAAATCGACTCCGACTCCGACTCCAACTCCGACTCCGGACGGTTCTATTTAAAAATTCATATCATGGTATTGAAGTTCATAATGGGGATGTTTTTATCTTGCCTGAAACGATCCCTTGTGCGTTCCAAGACTTTGCGTTGCAAATATGTATTAAAAATAGCACGCAAAATTAAGAGGCAGGTTCTGGGGTATTCACCCTCTTCTACTTCTTTCGTTGAAAACGTCCGACCAATACAGCAAAATTGCCTTTTTTTCGACAAAATCTAATTTCGAGCGCTAGTGTATCGTCAACCAAATAGGTGCAGTACATGACGTCGACCCATGCGGCGTTAACTCCGATTCCGGAGTCGGGTCGGCATAATTTTGGCGACTCCGACTCCGACTCCGGACAGAACTGTCGACTCCGACCGACTCCGACTCCGACTCCGCAGCCCTGGTCAAAAGTCCGACCAAACACCCCTCTCCCCAACGCCATCCTGCGCTCCTTCTCACCACCCACCCGTCCGGCAGGAAGGGTCTCATGGTGTCTCGCAGGGACGGCTGTTCCTTCAGCATCAGGTCCACCAGCGCCCGGCCCCGCGTGTACTGCGGGTCGCGCCGGAACGCAGCGCTCAGGCGCAGCACGCACTCCTCGAAGTCGTTCAGCAGGTAGAGAACCGAGACGAGGCTGTCCATGCACGGCCAGTGCCCGGGGCTGCAGGCCAGGCCCTGGTGAGGGTAGGGGGGATGGTCATCGGCGGGCGGAGCGCAGGCACCAGGCCGTCTGCATTAGATCGACGATAACGTAGTAATTAGACCGATGGTAGCGTAAGAAAACACTCGCGGCACGCTACGAAAAGGACGTAATTTCGTAAACAGCTTATGGATTATATTCAACAAATGAAATATCAGCCTGTAATCATATCCTTTATTTATGACAAGCACAACTCAGAGTTAAGGTCCGTGATCGTTACAAGCCGCTCACAGGCTCCAATCCACCCCTGCCCCTCAGTCTCGCCACCGCTCGCCTGTGCCTCTTCTGGACTGTGGAGGTCACCGGAGCCGGACACGTCACCCCATCCCACCGTTCCCGTCTCCCGTACTCACCTGTTTGAAGGCAGACCGGGCCTGGTGGTAGCGGCCGCACCGGTACGCCGCTACGCCCACCTTGTACCACAGTGTGACGTCCGAGTCATCAATGGCTGCAGCCGTCAGCAGGCCGGCCAGCGCGGTCTCGTGCTGACCGCGCCGCAGCGCGCCGCTACCCAGATTCTTGTGGCAGGTGTATCGCAGCAGCCGGGCCATGCCTGGAAAGGGTGAGACGCTGGTGTGAGGAGCAGGTACAGTAACAGGTCATATTCATGGTACCGCAGCTACTGTTGAACCTCTTATCCACACGGCAGCCTACGGCGTGAACACAATGTCCGTCCCGTGCTACGGCGCTAGCGGTAACATAAGAAACGAATAAAATAAAACAGATATTTTCATAGCAAGCGTCAATGTCATATCTGCCGAGGTCCATATGTGTTGTGTAGGTCGTGGCCTAACGTTATATGAATGACAGAGAAACACCCCCACTGGGTAACCGCATTCCTCTGGTGCTTTCTGACGGTGGAACGACCACTACGTGTCTGCATTTTGAGGGTGCTAAATTTCACCATCGAAGAGCCTGCTGCGTCGGCCACCGTTTTTAAAACGTAGCTCGGAAACACGCATAAACCACCGTCCTAGTGTCGTTTGTGTCCAGTGTCACCTTCCGTTTGATCGCACTGTCGTTGATTTAGCGTACACGATAAGAGGGACCGACGATTATGAGTCACTGTCCCAGCTGATTCGTAATACGGTTACTTCAACATGGCATCACGCACCGTTCGGTTTGGTAGCTCGATGAACTCGTCCTCCCCCGCGTCACCAGATCCAACGTACCCCATCTGCAGGCATTGCGAGCATGTCCTCGCCCCACACTGGAAACATTTTTACGACCTGGCCCAGAATGCCGATGGGCTGTCGGCGACTACTGCAGCGGTGGCAGGGGTCCCGTCGCTGCTCTGCTACGTCTGGTCGCCAGCTCCGTCGACCGGCCCCGCTAAAGTGACCGGGCGATATATCCGTTTCCCGGGTCCGCTGCGCAAAATCCCGCCGCTCTGCCCCTCAAACGGCATGACCTCAGCAGGTGGAATGACACAAGACATGCGACCGCCCCTCAATCCGGCGAACTCCCCAGTGTGGTCACCACACTGGACGGTGCTGTACCTCAAGCTTTCTCCATTGTTTATGAGTTAGCTGACTCAATGGACCATTTGGTGAGCTGAAACTACCTAACTATCAACTATCACATATTCTTTTGGCTAGTACTGATTCTGGCTAGAATCTCCATAACTGCTTACCTGCATTTATTCTCCTCCCTCAGTGAACAATGTAGGAACTGATGCAGGATAAGAGGATCATTCCACTCAGATATTGAACTCACCAGATGGGTCTGGCTCAGCCGTGTCTGCCAGAGCTGGAGAGGCGAGCACCGCACGGAACAGCACGTCAGCGCCGTCATCATCGCCTGCTGCCTGCAGTCTAAGGGCCTCGGTGTACTGCTGGTAGGCGGCATCCTCCTGGAAGCAAACAACACAGACATGCAATGTGGGAGGTCAAAACTAATTACAACACACAAGATATAGCTCAACTTGCTCTCCTGGAGTCTCTGCCAGGAACTTCATTCATTTAATCTGTAAAACTACAGAGGTACAAGGATACCTAACATTGTGCAACAGTGATAAAAATGCATGCAGCAGCTAAAAAAGTACACAGCAACTTGTGAATGTGATTTGTGAAGATGAAGCCCAAGTGGTAGGTTGTAGGTTGGTAGGATGTAGGTTGATAGGATGTAGGTTGATAGGTTGATAGGATGTAGGTTGATAGGTTGATAGGATGTAGGTTGATAAGTTGATAGGTTGTAGGTTGGTAGGTTATAGGCTGATAGCATGCAGGGATGTTACAGGTAGGTTGCTTAGTAGGTTAGTAGGTAAGGCTAGGTCAGATTAGATTGTTTTTTATCTACTTGGACTTCATCTTAACATTTACCAAAACAAGTGAGTAGGTATACCTGAGCCTCTCTTGTGATGACAGGTTGGATCTCTCCAGTGCTGAGCTGGGTGGGCTCCTCATCATTCAGAGCAGCGATGCGACTCATACTGAAGACTTGAAATTATTGTGCTCTGAAAAAAAGACAGCAATCTGAATATGAAATGATGAGCTTATAGTAACCTGCCACAACAAAAACAGGATAAAGATGATTGTGGTTATCTTTCCTAGTAGGTAGGTACCTGTTTTTGGCTCACCTAGAGCTAATTAACCCACGAGCCGCTGGGGGGGGGGGGGGCATAAAGTTGCCCCCCTTTACGTTTTGTGAAATATCTCCGAAACCTGATGAGCTACGAACGTCAAACTTGGCATAGCTTCAAATGAATACCTAGGCAATGTTTGAGGAAAGTTTGGTGGTTGTAGCATCTAAGATGACGTCACAGTGACGTCATAAATTTTTGTCGTTTTCCGATATTGTTACGTTTGACTTTGGTATATTACACAGTTGAGATACGTACGTCCCGCCAGAACCCCTGGCGCAGACGATTTCAAGCCGGGAATATCAGAATGACACTGTTCGCGGGGGAAGGGGAGACGTCCCGCCAGAACCCCTGGCGCGGACGACCCTAACACCGACCCGAGGTACTTACGTGGCGAGAGCTATCCTCCAACTGACCGACCGTCCCGGTCACCGCCCTGGCGTGACCTCGTATGGGTCATACAAAAGTAAACCGAGCGCCTATTGGTGGAAGCCAAATGACGTCACAGGCCCAAGCAATGCAAATCCACATAACACTGCCCCCCTCCAATATTTTTTTCCGCTTGAAAAAAACATTTACCGAAAGCCACAAGGGCAAAATAAATCAACAATTAACAAAAAAGGCAAGCACTTCCCACTGCAACCTACAGGCAGATAACTACACCTATCACTCGTCTTCACGTGATGCCCACGTAAGCCAGCTTGGCAGTTTGTCGAGCACCTTCTCGTATCCGCGGTGGGATAGATGAATGCCGTCGGATGCGAAGTAGATGCTGACCGACGGCACTAACGCTTTGCATTTGCCACGAGTGACAGTCAGAGTCCGTCCCAAATTCTCGAAGCCTACGCCGGCACTGTCACAGAAAGTGTGCTTTAGGCTTCGTTCAGCGTGAAACGCCGGCGTCTGGGTCCAGGTCTTGTTAGTGTCGAATTTCCATCTGGGTAACGGCCCCAAGATCACCACCTCCTCAGTCACTTTCCGCAGGGATCGAACTACTTCGGTCGCGTTCCTCTTGAGGTCGTCGAGGTTCATTCCGGAGATGCGGGTACCGTGCCGTGGGTAAATGTCATTCCCCGTCATCCAGACTACAGCTCGGCCCAATGGCCGACCGTAGCCTTTGGCCGCGCGGCACCACAAGTCGATGTCCCCGTCAATTTCCATCGCCAGTCGTGCCCAGCTGTGTCCGCCCTTCTCGAGACGAAGAAGAAGGTCTGGAGGCGAGACGCCCACCGGTGCATCTCTGGCGATCGAATCGCCTAGAAGCAGATGGGTTCTCCCCTCAGGTGCTGCTTGTGAAGATAGCTGCTGCACTGCTTGACTGAGGAACTCCTCCAAGTCCGAGTCCCACAACACTGCTTCGTCGTCCATCTTGCGGCTTCCAGTCTCGGATCCCCCGAGAGCCTGGCGACAACCGGTCAAGATGTCAATTTCGAGAGTTCTGTCATCATTTGCCGAGGGCACAGCATGTCTGTCAGCAAGGTCTTAACGTCTTTAGACGTCGAGCACAAAGTCAGCAAGCCATGCCGGTGCTCTGCGGACTCTGGTAGCCCTATCAGTCTGCGTTCTCGTCCTGATGTCGCCCATTGTCGCAATCGAATCGTCACCTACCCCGGTTCCCCCGGCTGCTGGTCTGTCCAAGAGGTGCCCTGTCGCGTGAGTGATCGTGTCAACCAGGGGAGGTCCATTGACAGGGACAGAGGGACTCTCGGGGCCACCCGTGATTCCCATCAGGTCAGGATCGCCACCGGATCCTGTTTGTGCCGCTGTTTCTGTGCCGGAGGTGGAGTCTTCGGTCGAGTGTTCCGTTGTGAGGGCCTCTTCCGTTACCCTGGTGGGGTCTCGTGACCAAGTGAACTTTGCGTCCTCATGCCTTTTCCAGAGCCTGTTGATGTGCACGATTTTTGGCTTAGATCGCCCTTCTCCTCTGATTCGATAAATGACGTCGGACAGCCTGTTGGCAATAATGAAAGGTCCTTCCCAATCAGAGGCTAGTTTCGGGCACATGCCTTTCCTCCTCCTTGGGTTGTAGAGCCACACTTTGTCCCCTGGCTCCAAAACTTTCTGTGTGGCCTTGGCATCATGCTGTAGTTTCATGGATCCTGACGCGATCTTCAAGTTCTCTCGCACATGCTGATGTATGTTGATAAGACTTTTTCTCGTCTCTTCTACATACTGAGGCAGGTTATCGGTTACAGCGTCGGCTGGAGGTACTCCGGTGGTCACATCGATAGGAAGGCGGAGTTCTCGGCCACTCATCAGTCTGGCTGGCGTATATCCAGTCGATTCATGCTCCGCTGAGCGATAGGCCATCAGCATCAAAGGGAGCTTTTCATCCCAACTGGCTTGATTGTCCCTGCAGAATTTAGCCAGTTGCTGTCCAAGTGTTGCGTTAAACCGTTCAACCATTCCGTCCGATTCTGGATGTAGGGCCGTCGTCCTCGTTTTTCGGACACCCATCAGGCTGCAGCATTCCTTGAAGACGGCACTCTCGAAATTTCGTCCTTGGTCGGAGTGAAGCTCATTCGGCATCCCGAAGCGCGCGAAGAACTCATCGACCAGTTTCCTTGCCACGGTCGTAGCCTCTTGGTTTGGGATCGCGTACGCTTCCGGCCATTTCGTGAAATAATCCATTGCCACCAAGATGTATCGGTTGCCTGACGCCGTGACGGGTAGAGGGCCTGTGATGTCAACGGCTACCCGTTCCATCGGGGCGCCCACCTGGTAGAGCTGCAATGGTGCCTGGATCCTCCGTTGGGGACCTTTCTTTGCACAGCAGATTTGACAAGCCTTGCACCACTCTGTGACATCCTGACGCATGCCTACCCAGTAAAACCGCTGTCTCAAACGCTGCAGCGTCTTCTTGATGCCGAAGTGGCCACCCGTCAAGGCATCGTGGGTTTCTTCCAACATCAAGGGGCGCAGGCTCTGTGGGATCACAGTTAACCAACGCTCGGAGGATCCATCCACCGACTCCCAACGGCGCTGGAGAACCCCTCCATGCACCCTCAACATGTCCCACTGGCTCCAGTAATGCTTGGCTTCTATGCTGCTCGCAGACATCCTCTCCCACGCAGGTCTTCCAGTTTCGTTTTTGATAGCCGCTATAATAAGTTCCAGATCCTTGTCCTCCAGCTGCGCCTTCGAGATGTCTTCAACATCTGGTGCATCCTTCGGTGCACGCTCCACAGACCGATCACATGTGACCCCAACGGCCTGTGACTCCCTGCGCGGAGAATCGGTTTCTGTTTGAGCCATCAAACAGCGCCCATGCTCAACCACCTCCTTCCTGCTGCAGTAGTTGCATTCAGCTTGGCAGGGGCGCCTGCTCATGCTGTCTGCATTGGTGTGTGCAGATCCAGGTCGGTACTGAACTGTGAAGTCGTACTGGTCTAGTCGTGTCAACCAGCGGGCTAGCTGACCTTCCGGATCCTTGATGCTCCTCAGCCACCTAAGGGCTGCGTGATCCGTGCGAATCACAAAATGTGCTCCGTAGAGGTAATGATGAAAGTGCCTGGTGGCGTCGACCATCGCCAGCAATTCCTTTCTTGTCACGCAGTAGTTCCTCTCTGGTCGAGTTAGCGACCGGCTAAAGAAGGCGATCACTCTTTCTTCCCCATTGATCTCTTGCGAGAGCACCCCACCTACGCCGCAACTGCTCGCATCGGTGTCTAGAATATATGGCTTTGCAGGGTCAGGATAAGCCAAAACTGGGCTTGAAGTCAGCTTCTCTTTTAACATTTCGAAAGCCGCTTGACAGTTCGTGTCCCACATGAACTTATGTCCCTCCTTCGTTAGATTGTGCAGTGGTGCAGCGATTGTAGCAAATTGGCGGATGAATCGCCGGTAATAAGTGCACAGTCCCAGAAAACTGCGAAGTTGCTTCCTGTCTTCTGGGACCGGCCAGTCCCTGACCGAGGCACACTTGTCCGGGTCAGTGTGTATGCCAGTTGCAGACACGACATGTCCGAGATACTGCACTTGCCTTTGAAACAAGTTGCATTTCTTGGGGTTGAGTTTCAGGTTTGCTCCTCGAAACCTTTCGAACACCTCCCCCAAGCGCTGAAGTTCCTGTTCGAAAGTTTGTCCGAAAACAATAACGTCGTCCAAATAAACCAGCAAGGAATTCCAATGCAGCCCGCTTAGTACCGCTTCCATCAGCCTTTCAAAAGTAGCAGGAGCATTGCAGAGGCCGAACGGCATCACGCGGAATTGCCAGAGCCCACTGCCACATGAGAACGCCGTTTTCGGTTTGTCTTCTTCCGCCATTGGTACCTGGTGGTATCCAGACTTGAGGTCCAGTGTTGAGAACCACTGGGCTCCTGCGAGTGCATCTAGTGAATCGTCTATGCGTGGCAATGGGTATGAATCCTTGATGGTTAGTCGATTCAGAGTTCTGTAATCAACACAGCATCGCAGGGAACCGTCCTTTTTCCTTACCATAACTAGCGCGGACGACCATGGACTGGCACATTTTTCTATCAGACCGTGATCAGCCATCTCCTGGACCACCTTCTCTGCTTCTGCGCGCTTCGGTACTGGCAGACGTCGGGGCGGTATTTTTACTGGGCGATGAGACCCGGTGTTGATGTGGTGTTCTGTCAGCTGAGTACACCCCAGGTCACCGTCTCCACTTGAGAAGACGTCAGCATGTTTCACTAGCAGGGCTTCTACGGAACGTCGTTGGTCTGAGGACAGGTGCCCACTGCACCTATCGATCAAGCATTGCAGATGCGATGGCAGTTCCGTGTGCCTGGGGGCCTGGTCGTCTCCTCTGGTAACTTCTACTTGTACAGGTTCGCAAATGCCAACCTCAGAGTGAGGTTTGATGCGTTTCGGCTTGTCGGTGAGATTAGCCATCAGCACTTGGAAAGACTTATGCGATGCGTCCACCAGTGTGCGTGCCACAATCACTCCCTGTACCGGTCCAGCCCTAGCCTCGATCATACCTGGTGCATCAAAAGTGGACCCCAATGACCTACAGGTTACCATGGTTTCGGAGCGAGGGGGTAGCGTGACTGACTTCCTCACTTGAACCCTGAAAGCTCGGTACTCTTGATTTCCTGATCCTGAGCCGGAAAATGCAGGAATATCTGTCCCATCCACGTTCAAGATCATGTTACCCACGTCCAGCACACATCGGTGTTTCCTGAGGTAGTCCAACCCCAAGATGCAGCGCTCGGTTAGCTGTTCCGATACATAGACACTGTGAGTCGACTGGAAATGTCCTATTTTTAGCTGTACCTCCAGCGGCCCCCACAGTGCTGAGCAGCGCCCCGTGACGTCGTTCAGTCTCTCTTTCGCTGGAGGCAAATCCTCCAGTTCCAGGACGTCCCTGCGGATAATAGTCTGGTTCGCGCCAGAATCGACAATCACCGGACAGGGTTTGCCGTTTATTGCTCCGTCCACCTGAACACTGTCCATGACATTGAGACCTCTTACCCTGGGGGTATAAGGTGGAGCTGCAGCCGAATTCCTCGATTCACCAGCCGGATGAGCTCGTTTTGGCTTACGACAGTCACGTCGTAGATGCCCCATCTGATCGCAATTCCAGCAGGGGCCCGTCGCTGCAGATGCTCGACTGCCTCTGTCGTTGTTGGTTGGCCTTCTGGATGATGTGCGAGCTTGCTGGGCCTCCAGTTCTTCAATCCTCCGCAATATTTGCTCCATCACATTCTCCTGTAAAGGACGTTCAGCATTCTGAACGTGGGTTTTCCGGGCTGCAAATGCGGACCCAACAGATGCTGCCCGCCTGATGGACTCGTACTCCAGTGCGGATGCCAGTGCCTGCTGAATGTTTCCGGGCCGTCCCTGTCGTACTGCTACTTGCATGTCGACATCCTGCAACGCATCGATAAACTGGTCGCATATGATGGTAGCCCGGAAACCCTCCGGTGCTCTGGGATATGCACAATGCGCAAGTCGTTCCACGTCCTGCGCTAGCGTTGCCAGTGATTCGCCGGCACCTCGGATTCTAGAGCGGAGCTGGGCACGAAACAGCTGGTCTTGGTTCGCCGTTCCAAACCGCTGTTCTAATGCCAGTACTAGCGTTGTGTAGTTCCTCTGCGTTTCGGGCGAGAGGTGTCCCAGAAGTTCGAGGGCGGTGCCCTTCAAGCTGCCCGCCAAATACGCTGCCTTTTCAGCGTCTTCCCAGCCGTTGTTTGTCGCTATCAGCTCGAACTGGGCTCTGTATGCCGCCCAGGACACCGTACCGTCAAATTCTTGGGGCTTCATTTGATGTGTTCTCGACGTTGCTGCCTCCGACACCCTGTGTGGCACCACAGTTTCCGAAACCGTGTGTTGCGGAGCTGGTGCGCTCACTGCAGTCACTTCCGATGTGATGGGGCCGCTGGCGCCAGGAGGAGGTGCCGCAGACACATGCTCCTTCAGATCTGAAACTGCCTTGATAACTGACAGCATGTTGTTTTGCATCAACTCCATTTGAGCCCCAAACATATTTATTTGTTCTTGCAGCACCTTGGTGTTCTTGTCTATCCCACCGTCCTCTTCTTCCTCGCTTACCGGATTGTCGTGTCTAGCAGCCATGAGCTCAGCACGCTCCTGATTCCTACTCTCCCTTTTGTTCCTCCTTTCCTCCCTGTCATTCATTCTTTCCCCGGGATTAAATACTCAAAGAGTCAGTGCCTATTAGCAAAGTCACAAATAAGATTTATGCAATGCAAGGCTTAGAACTGATTACAAAATATTTATCCCACTTCTGACACCAGTGTTACGTTTGACTTTGGTATATTACACAGTTGAGATACGTACGTCCCGCCAGAACCCCTGGCGCAGACGATTTCAAGCCGGGAATATCAGAATGACACTGTTCGCGGGGGAAGGGGAGACGTCCCGCCAGAACCCCTGGCGCGGACGACCCTAACACCGACCCGAGGTACTTACGTGGCGAGAGCTATCCTCCAACTGACCGACCGTCCCGGTCACCGCCCTGGCGTGACCTCGTATGGGTCATACAAAAGTAAACCGAGCGCCTATTGGTGGAAGCCAAATGACGTCACAGGCCCAAGCAATGCAAATCCACATAACAATATGGACCGTTTCTGATGACGCTGAGCATGAAACTCGACTGTAAATGAACTAGACAGCACCTGCTGTCATCCTAAAACATCTTGCTACACTTCCATCTTGTTTCTGACCAATAATCGGCCCTTTATATTCGGTCCCATATATGTGATGTATCGTGAGGAACATGAGAGTCGCAAATCTATAATTTCACTTATGACGTCACTGTGACGTCATTTCAAATGGGATCGACACCAAATTTAGACACAACCTTGGCTAGGTATTCAGGAAGATGTGTGCAAAGTTTCGCTTCTCTATCTCTTCGCGTTGCGACGATATCGTCGCAGAAGTAAAGGGGGGGCAACTTTATGCCCCCCCCCAGCGGCCGGCGGGTGGCGCGGAGGCCCAGCGGCCGCCGGGTTAAAAGGAAAATGGGTATATTATGACCATAACAATGGTGAATGCTATTTGCTAATGCAATGTGACCAATGCATGCGTGCATGTGTACCTACTGATACCGTATTATAATGGCAGCTGAGGCCATGACAAGTTATAAAAATTGATTTTCTATATCAGCAAATTCATACTTCCATGTGCCAATTTTGATTTTAAATTTACCTGCAAAATCTTGGTGCCGGCTCGACTGGAAGTGATTTCAATTTAAAGTTCACTTTGCAAGACCAAGACCCTAAGACTGCCGATGACAGGGTCTGTCTCATGGCTCAGAATGGTAAACAAACGTTGCATGTCAAATAAGTATCCTAATCATTTCAACATGCTCTGGTTAAAGCCACAGCTGCAGCAGGAATTAATTTACACCAAATGAGTGAACGCAGCTCGCGCGGGAATCGGACCGATGAATAGCATCAAATAACATATCGATTATGAATAACATGCATGGAAACGGCTAGGTTTATATCGATAAAATCGTTCTTCAAGGGGAGCCAGCAAAACCTTTCCTCCACGTATTGAATGCGAGTTTGGAGTGGATGATCTCATGCCTGCAGTTATTATTTCCCAAATTCAGCCCAATTATTCACTCAGAATCAAGTAAACTACGTAAATATAAAAGTACGTAAGTTGTATATCGATAAATGTACACGTTCGACATTAGTTGTCATTATTATCTTTTTGAAAAATTATTAGATATCTCACATAAACAGATACCTATCGTCCTAAAATTGTTTCATGTGAGTGTTGACATGAAAACAGCATATCAAATATTTTTGTAAAAGTTTAATTATCTTAAAAGTATATTACACGAACGCATCTAAAGTCTCGCAGATCGCGAGACTCTGCGAAAGTTAACGGGTTTTAGTGGTCACGTGACCATACAGGTTATTTTCGTAACTAAAATGGCGCTAACCGTCCCTTGCAAAATTTCAGTATTATTTGCAATCGGTGCATAATGGAGGAAATGGAGACAAGGTTTTGATAAGCAGAGAACTAGGGGAATAAAGCGCTGGCAAGTTATTCTCATGTCAGGTGAGAATATTGAAGCAATTCCGTTGTTTCGAATGCGGCGCAGCTTCTTTGGAATTGTTTGTAGGTAGATGTAGTTTCTTTGCTTTTATAGTTGAATGGTTTTGCATATTTGATTTTGGAAGATTTCATGAGCTTTAATGATGCATTGATTGCCTAAGATATAATGTGTCAGTTGTGTGGCCTGTGTCCATGCATGCGTTTGAATTTGAGGGTGCTATGCCATTACTTCATAGAACTCATTTTTAGCAGATTATCCACAACACAGGAATTGATATGATGTGTCTACCACTTTGAAATATCTGCTAAAATTTCATGTATGGTTAATACTGCTCAAGTCAGTTTATTTGCTTGTTAGACAATGATCTGGTGCTGTTGCGTTGTTTTGACATTTGTTTCATGCCAATGCACTTTGATGTCAAGCAATCTGATGCCTGGATTACTGCAATAGCTTACACATATACTGGCAAGTTAGCTTTAATGGATGCATCATGATGCATTGCAAGCACTGTTTCATATGAGCTCAACAGTCATCCATTGGTGTAAGCATCTGGGTGCAATTGCAGCCTAGCTTGAATTATGTGATAGTCATGATTAAATTAATTGAAATAATTCCAAATATTTTAAAGTATAATCCCTATTTCCTCTTATTTTCAACCCATTTTAAGTTGCTTCACATGCTTTTTTAGTTGCAGGTCATACCATTATCATTTATGGTGACGCTTATTTTTTGCCTACACTGGAAGTACACATCAATTGTAATGATAGGGTATCTTGTACATTTTTCTTTAAATGCAGTTCTTCATAAGCAATATTGCATTCAAATAAGTTATTTAATGAGTCTATATATAATAAATTCATAATTCTCTGTTGTTAGCTTTAATGGATGCATTTCAATTGGTTTTCAATTGATTGTGATGATGTTTGACATGTTATACAATGGGCAATGGGACAGATTGAGATATAACACTTGTGACAAGTTATTCTGATCAATCTGTTTTACCTAATTGTTTCCCAGGTGCATTGACATATGCATATCTGTAGGTACCATTTATTAGATTTTGTGCATTTACTTACTTTTTGATGCTTGGTGATGGTGAATCATTTTGAAAAAAAGTTGGGAATGGTGAAGGTTTTTATTTGTGATTTTTTTTTGGAAACCATATTGATGACTTCCATTGTTACCAGAATTGTAGATGTAACTGAAGGTATTTTATTTTTATAGAATGTCTACAACATAACACCAATTGAAATGCATTGCTTCAATGTTGCATATTCTAAGTTTTTGGTAGTTTTATGGCCAGTGTTCTAACTTTGGATTTTTATTGCATGTGCCAATGAAAAAAGTATATGGGTCTGTTCCTGTCGCTCCTCCCAAAAAATCTCAGATGAGGTTGGATGAGCTTGGAGGAGAGCCGTTTCAGAGGAGCCACGGGAACATTTTCGTGAGGAAATCAGCTGTTTGCGGGCTGTAACGGTCGGCGATTTATGGCGCGCAAACATAAATCAAGAGATAATAATCACTTTCTAATAAAATAACCTTAGAATAATATCAAACATTACTATTTAAAGATATCCAATCATCATCAATCACTAAAATCATTTCCACTTCCCTCAAATCTCATTTATAAACAATTCACATTTGTATTACGTGCGCCAAATATGTCTACGCAAGAGCCTCCTCCAAAAAACCAACTTTCGTTTGGGATGAGGGAGGAGGCAAATAGTGGTGGTGAGATGTGAAATCAAGATGAGCTTGGAGGAGCTTGGAGGAGCGACGGGAACGATTTTTTGAAACGAGAGGAGGTTAGAGGAGCTTGGAGGAGGTTAGAGGAGCGACGGGAACAAACCCTATAAGATGAGAAAACAAATATTTACCTAGAGTGCTTTTGCAAAACAGAGACATTGTCATTTTTATACCAATTGATAAAGCAGAATTTCATGTCAGGATCTTGGCAGGATCTGAAAGAAAGGGTGTGGATGCAAGCAGGCAAGTCAAAGGATTGTAACACTTTGAAAAATGAAGTAATGCCACTTTTTCTCATTTTTGGGATGAAATTGAAAAAAGAATATTTGCCTGTTAGGTGTGATTTTCCACCCAAAATTCTGAAAAATGGATCACTATGTAGGTGACATGCTTGGCCTCATTGACCTCACTCTACTTTCTTCCCATCTAACGTCATCCTATCCAAATGGCCATAAATCCTACTATTGACAATGCAAAATTTCAGCCATTCACATGAAGATACTGACTAAAATTTAGGTGACATGAGAAAGAGGTTATCTTTGCTAAGTCAAAAACATATTGCGTACACATTGTATAGGTACCTGAGGCTGTCAGTGAGTGTGTAAAACCAATGAACACTTTTTAAGAAATAAATTTAGCTTGAATGTTTGAATGGACGGATTGACAGAGCCGGAGCCCACGCTAAGCAGAGCTTGCTGCATCGACCCCAACCCCTACTGTCCGATCGCGCAATTCCGGGTAACAGGATAATTTAGATACCAAAGTTTAACGTGCCTTTCAAAGCCGGACATGGGCTGTCCCACTCAACTGACTTCAACTGGCTGCGGCTGCTCCCACCAACCGCAGACCATCCCCATCAGGATTTTCAAATATCGAGCGCCAGAGCGTCTCGAACTCGGGATCTCACTACCGGGAGTCCAATCTCTACCAACTGAGCTACGGGACAGGCTGAAATAACGAAGAACTTGAAAATTTGAAAGACACTTTTTATAATAGCTGTAAATAATATTAGATCAGATCTTGAAAAGCAGTTTGTTACGTTGTGCATGCTGCAGGCTGAGCTTTGGGTTATATCATCAAAATGTTGGGAACATGCAACCAAATTGGCTCGTGGGACGAGGGAATCCTCAACTCTTATCTTAACCCTAATATGTATACAGGTACTAAAAAGTGAAATATTTCAAAGCGGAAAACACGCAAGAGAATGGATCTCATGATGAACCTACAAATGTATCTCACATTTGCCACTGAAGGATGTTTGTTTATTCTTAGAACACACTCCAGGCTCTACCCCTATGCTTTCAGTAGCTCATTCTGAGATTGTAATTGGGAGTCATTCATTACTGAGTTGACCCATCAACCAATCAACCTCCTTCTTGCTCGTCCTTCTTGCTCGTTATTACACTCATACACTCATGACTTTTCTGGTGCTTCAGCTTTCTGATTGATTCTGTACCTTAGGAGGGACTGCTGTAGCATTTTTCCTTTTTCAGTTGTGTACCAATAGGGCAGGGCTGTGTGCCTTGCAGGGTGTCGGGAATGTCGTTTTCAGTAATAAAAAAGTGATAGTTAACAATGGCTGTTAAGATAAATCCTAACGAAATGTATGGGCTGAAGTTTTCCTTCAAGTAGCTTGCAGCAATTTTGGTCAAATGTCATTTTGGAAATGTGGGAGGGGAGGCAAAATGGCTTAACGTGATAATGCTCCTCACCTAAATTTGTGAATGTTGGAGACAATGAATAGCAGCGACTCTAGTTTACACGATCACTTCATATTTTTGTAGCATGATTTATTTATCTTTTTATTCTGTTTGATCTAATGTTTTTCCCTGTCGAAGGTCCATTATATCATTAAGATGAACCTTCTTTGGAAGTCGATGAACATCATAAGCAAGCAGGAATAAATCAAAGAATAAATCACCACATTTTATATCAATATCAGGGCGCTATGCAGAAGCCTTTATCTAGCAGATCGCTAGGTATATGTGCTACCCTGTATTTACATGAAATATGGATATTATTGTAGCATACAGGGTGTCCAGAATTGACCGAACATTTATTTTCTGGCTAAAAGTACGATTGCGCTCGATTCTAATTAGATACGAGCATTATACTTTTATGAGACATCCCTTAGCTATCGGGCTTGGAGACTGTGTGCTTGTGGTGACCGGTCACGGCTCGAGTCAATTATTATCCAGAGTCAGGCAAGAGTAGTCACTTTCCGTTTTTAGCCTTAGCTGCCATAAGGCAATCATGGTGAATGAAGTGTTTTTCTCAACTTCGTAAACAGACTTTCGGCATGGTTCTTGCTGGAGAGCTCCAACAGCTCAGCTGAACGCAGGTAGGAGTGTGCAAAGCGCAGTTATGTCAGCGAGCGAAGCCAGAGAGAGTAAGAGATAACCTGATCGACAAGCCTGGGCGCGGCCAAGAAGGAGCATGCACCAGTCGTCAAGGGGGGTGGTTGCCATGTCATGGACAACAAACGTCACCGATCTTCTCCAAAACAAGCTAGACAACAGATCAGGGTTAGCTACAAAATATTGGTCTACTTTTCACCACTATCTGCGCCAAAATTTTGGAATTTGGGGTCCCTGCTTGAAAAACATGTCAAAACTAACGAAAAGACAGAGCATATTGCTACAAATCAGCCAAAAATCATAGCATATGCAGCAAAAAGAGAACTGAAACACACTTTGTGTGGTCTTACGAAGGTATTCTGCCCCTTGAACCGCTAAAAAAGTCGTGCGTGGACGTCAGATGGTGGCAACGCCCCAACAGCAGAGACGGCCAGGCGCCCGTCGAAAATCAAAGTGTGGGACATTTTGAGCCACGGTGCGCTCATTCAGCTTCATATGATGCCCCAAAGACGACCGTTAACACAGATTACTACTGCGGTATTATTCTAGCGTTACAAAAACGATGCGGTAAACCGAATGGCCATGAACGGGTTTGTTTTGGACTCAAAATCTGTTGGAAGCCAAAGGTCACGTCATGTTCAGGCATGGAGGTTTTCCACTTCAGATGTCAAAAACAACGCACCAGTGGTGTAAGCAGAATTTTTGGTTTTGGGAGGGAATGCCCTTGGCCTGGGAACAGTTTGGATGCAAATTTAATCGAAAATATTTATAGTATCCTCCGGCAAGAGGTCAATGAAAACTGGCCCACAACCAGGTTTGGGAGACCTGTATAACAACTGAAGCTAGCATCGACTGGCATTTAGCTGCAATTGTCGGCTAATCTTGTAACTAGCGTGTCTATTGCATGTGCCAATTCGTAGCTACCCTAATTGGCAATATCGGACGATAAAAAAATTGCAATCTTTTTTCCCTTGTCTTATGCGCTGCTTAGCAGTGTTTGGTCAATTCTGGGACACCCTGGCCTGTATTTAAAAGATATCATGTGAATCATTGGACGCGATGCAACATTTAGGATTGTTGCCATCTTGTTGTTGCCGTCATTCTTCAACAAGATATCGTCTGTGTGGTGTAACAATCCTCTAAAGCTGTTTACTTTTGCTGTGTTCCAGCCCACTGAGCAGCCATGTCTCAGAGGCTGAAGAGGCTTGCCGGGAAGCCTGATGATCCAGGTGAGATAACCTCAGCTTTCCAGTAGCTGGTCCATTGCAGTGTGAAATGTCAGCATGTGTACTGCACAATAAGTCACATCAATTGCGAATCTTTTAGCTGCAACTTTGCGTTAACATGAAATGGATTTCTATCTAAACTTGTCGGTCTTTATATCATCTCGCCTCAATAAGATACGGATGGCTATGTGTCTAACTACCCGTATGTTTATCCAACCTGCCTATCCAAACTGCCTGTCCATTCTAACCGGTGCATTCGCTCGCGCCCTGTCGTCCACCCGACAGGCCCCATGGGTAAGCGCAAACGTCGGAAACTGAGCGGCTCGGAGGATGCCGACTCGCAGCAGCCGCAGCTGTCGGCTGCCGGCCACGGCTGGACGCCCAAACACCTCGGCGACCTGAAGGCCTACAACAAAAAGGCAGTGGAAAAGCCGGGGGAGGTGAGTACGACTGACCGCCGCGTGGGGATGGAGACGGGACCGCACCCGGTGCGTGGGGAGGGGCGGGGCGGTAACTGTTGCGCCATGCCGTCTGCGGTTAGCTGAACCGCGATAATGGAAGGTGCCGAACTGCGGACTTGTCATCGCTGGTGATTGAAGGATTATTAACACGACAAATCGTTTTCTTACCTAACTTCGATGTTTTTGGCGATGCCATTTGAATCTTGCGTGCTTGCGTGCTTGGGTATAAGCACATTACTTCATATACGACTTAAGACCTCGTCGTCGACCCGCGTAGCTGACCGTAACCCCGCCCGCAGCTGATTCGCACGGACCTGATCAGCGCGATGAAGCTGGCCGACTCTGAGTACCTATCGCCCGACGAGTACCTGGAGATCGCCGACCAGTGGAAACAGGAGTGGGAGCGCGGCGTCCAGGTGCCCGTCAACCCGGACACGCTGCCGCACCCGCGCGTCAGCTGCGTGCCCGGACCGCCGCAGCGGCTGCACGACTTCAAACTGTGAGTGCCGGCAGATGAACGGGACGCGGGTGCGCTGGGACGCGGAGAAAGGGACGACGAAGAGGGCTCGGAGATTTCTCAGTTCCCGGCGCTGTCCGTTGTAGCTGGTGTAGACGCCTTATTGTTTCTCGCATCTGTATTGAATATGCGCTATCCTAGTAATATAACATGTTTTTCAAGTCATCTAGAGCTGTTAACATTCTCATTTGTTTTTTGTCCGTTTATCTAGTGATACAAAACAATGCATATCCTTTGAATTACGTCATGCGTGCAATGCTAAAAATAGCCACAGCGTCGTTAAGTTTCCTGGATGTCTCTGATAGGTCGCACGATTGTGTTTGCTTGTGTCGTATCGTATGTTCTGCTTCCGTTGTTCCGCTACCCTCATCCCCAGGACCCTCTTCCTTGGTCTTCCTATGTCACTCTCGTCCATCGGATTTGAATACCTAACGGGTACTTCTAGTCAATGATCACTCACTGGTCACTCGTCTCTGGCCTATGTTACTAGCTGGCTGTGATCCATTCAAACCTTGCGTATCTCCCTAGTACGTTCCCATGCGCTCGAGATCTTATTTACGTCTCTTCCGTTCACCGCCAGGCCCAAGAAGCTGGTGCGTGTGACGCACGACGACTCGTCGCCGGAACTGTACCACATGACCAACGCGCCGGCCAAGGCCGAGAAGATGTGTCGCTACGACCTGGACGAGCAGGACTCTATCTGGCTGGGCATCTTCAACGGCGAGCGCGCCCGCATGGGTGAGTGTGGCGGCTGGGGAGTTGGGCGGGGACGGGCTGGCGGTCTCTGGGCAGTCTGGTGAGTTATGCGGGTCGGGAACCGGCAGGGAGTGGTGGGGGTAGGGGCGGCTGTCTGCGGGACTTGTTTGTCTCACTGGGGGCCGGGGGGTCGGCAGGGACCCGGTATGATCGGCTGTGGCGGCCAGTGCCGCTGGCCAATGTCGCTAGCGGCCACAGCCGCCCTATGGTAGAGGGTTGTGATTGGCGAAGCTGCGTTACTGACGGCCGGAGACCTCTGATACCCTGCGTAGTGTATTGTGTGTGGATGTGTCAGCCTGAGTCGTGGGTTGGACGTGAATCAGGCATTAGGTACTTGAGATTGTGTGTGAAGGATCATATGATTCATATAATCGCATTTCCTGACGGGGTGTTGGTGGCTTTGATAAGAACAAAATATATGGCGATATGGCACAATGTCCTCCATGACAAACTATCCAACCGATACATAGCTTTGCACGAACTGAGTTGGTATCGTTTTCGAGCACAAACTTTCAACACTTTCGTCTGGATTGTCCAGCATGGTAATTGCGGCCTAACTTTGCATCAATTTGCCTTATTGAGACCCGTCCCAGTTTAGCTCTAGCCCTTGGATATACCACATTTGTCTTCATTATTTTACGTGCGCCTTCATCAACATCGCTTTTCTCTAAACCGGGCACGTCGCCCCCCGACCGTGCCGGATTTGGCCGTGGCCTTACGGAGCGGGGTCGCTGGTCGGGGAACCCCCCGCGCCCCGCGCCCCGCCCGCCGCCGGGGTGCCGGTGGTCCCTTACTAGACGGATCTGAGGCGCCAGATAGGACTTATCAGTCCTGTCCTGAGAAGCCTGAACAGAAGGAATCCACTGCCATCGGCGTATAACTTTATCATCGTGAATGTGGCGGGTTGTTGCATCATGCGATGCCTGTGTATGTTGCGTCAGTTGTTTTTATTGTTTTTTTCCTCAATCCCTCGATGAGCTATTGCAGCTGCCTTCTTACGTCAGCCAAGCTTTTCTCGACCTTTTCGAACCATTTACGGTCATCAATGATATATCTGATATCGAGTTTCAGTTTTATCACAGTTTTTATTTCTTCTTGTTAACACAATTTATTTATTAAAAGCATGATTTGTCCTAATCTGCTATAGAATTAATCATGTCTCAACACATCCGTGCCATGACAGTGATCGTACGTCCACTGTCCGCGGCGCGGTTCTCTCTGCCCCCTCCCCCGCCTCAGCGATCTCGCAACTTTCTCCGGTCCGTTTGGACGCCTGTGTGGGTGTGCGTCTGTGACCGGAGCGCCGTCCTTGTCCGCAGGCCTGCCTGCCGTCTCCGACCTGGAGCTGGAGAGGGCCATCGAGGAGCTGGAGCGCCAGTGCTGGAACCGGCTCCAGACTATCGTCAAGACGCAGGAGTGCCTCAGCATCGAGTTCGACGAGAGCGTTGTCTGCGACGTCTGTCGACAGGTAGGGTCTTCGTTAGCACCTGTGACTTACTGGACGGCTACCGCGCCGTGGACTGATTTGTGGGGAGCGGGGTGGTATTGGATAGTAGAACTGGGAAGCGGTGAGTGCCGAGCGAATCGCGTGGGGACGGGGTGGTATTGGATCGACCGGGTTAGCGGGGGAGTGCCGAGCCGGCTGAGAAAGACGGCATGGAGAGGGACTCACTAAGTGGAGTGGCTCTATGACGGCGGTGTCATTCATTACACCGTCCTCGTTCCGGACCGTCCTCCCGCCCGCAAACTGCCGGGACGATGAGCCGTTCCAATCCGCCGCCGCCGCCGCCGGCTGACGGCGTGCCAGGTGCGCTGTCGACGAGCGTTGCGTCACAGGGCGCCGGTTACCGACCCGCGAGTAAACTCGAATCGTCTCCGCCGGGACGCTCAGAATCATATCAATTGGACCGGCGGTGCGGAGCTGATGGATTGCGGATGACAGCTGTACCGAGTTTGGTTGGCGTCGTTTGATTCCCCCGGGGAGCTGACAGGTGTAAGGAAGGTAGCGGGGTCACCGGGACCATTCCGTTGTTAAAAATAACCTATCACTATGACTCTATTCTACACGTCCTGTTGACAATTTCAATTTTGACATTTTGTCTTGCTTGCCGTAAACATGATTTGTCTCGCGTCTTTTCTGGAATCACGTCGTACCTCAACCCTAACCTTCACGTATGACAGTGATTGGACGCCACGGTTGCTGGGCAATAAATTGGCATCAGTTCAAAACATAGCCGGACAGTCATGACTTGTACACAGCTGATGCCGGCTGACAGCGCGCCTCCCTAACCCGTCTACCCAGCACCCCACCCCATCTGCCGACTGTTCTTGCCCTATAGCTCTCCTCCATTTGACTAGTGCCACGTTTTATCCATCTACAGTAACTCCCCAGTCAACTGACCCGTTCCCCGTCCTATCCGCAGACAGCCGCCCCTGCTCGGCAGCCCCCTCCCCCTGTCCCTTGTCCCCCTCGCTAACCGTTGCTCTGCCCTCCGCCGCCAGCCCGACTCTGAGGAGGAGAACGAGATGGTGTTCTGCGACAAGTGCAACATTTGCGTCCATCAGATGTGCTACGGCATCACCAGCATCCCGGACGGATCGTGGCTCTGCAAGACCTGCGCGCTCGGCATCAAGCCAGAGTGTGTGCTCTGCCCTAATAAAGGTACGGTGCTCGGCTGTGTATTGGTAGTTCTTGGGGATTTATAGAATTAATTGGAGCATGATGACCATCTCATGAGAGTCATACGGCACACGAATCACGCGAGTTAGCATCGGCCTAAGTGTTGTAAGTTGTGACTTGATATCAAGACAATAGTTCAATTAGATAGGTACTCAATATTGGTTTGCATTGGGTTGCTGGATAACAATTGTGATTATTTTGATTTCCTCAATACTTCTTTACAATAGTTGCCCGCGAGCTGGGCTGTTTCTCACTAAACTCTGCTGTGTACTTTTCCGTAGCTAATTGTGACCATATGCCTTCTGCTTATTTGTTAAAGGTAGACTGCCACCTTTTTTCCACAAAACGGTTTTCACTAGAGCTGAGCCACCTATGTCCCAGACTGAAGTCGGTTTTCCGAAATTCGAACCCGTTTGCGAGAAATCGGAGACCAAAGTTCAGTTTGATGCCATTTTTTTAGTCCAAGAAAACCGACATCTCTACTGTTTATCGATAACTTTGAAACATAAATTTTCTTATCTTTTGGTAAATATATGCCAAAACTTTGATTGTTTCGAGATCAGAGAAGAATTTTGGAGTGTCAAAATAAAAGTTAAACTTATATATTCAGTAGTTCATTTTTTCCAAAAAAGTGTGGGAAATGGGGTTTAACATGGGCCAGACCCATTCCAAATGAGCCATGATTTTTTTTAATGTTTTACGAACTTAAATGCAAAATAAATTAAACATGGCCAATTTCTCATGAAATCATATATTAGTAAATTATAAAATACCTTACTTTTTCAAATAAAATGTAATAATCTTATGACCTTGAAGTCTAGTGATGTGTAAACATTGTCGCTAGACATTAACCGATTGATAATTGTATGAAAATCGACAATTTTTTTCGCGATTCACGTGATGATACTTTGTCAGGTGAATTCTAAAATTTTGTTTTGTCCAGGGAATAAATCATAGGCCGATCTGAGAAAACTTTTTGAAGGTGGCAGTCTTCCTTTAATGGATGTTTGTTAGTTTTTTTTTTTTGGCCAGATGACCGACTCGCACTTCAAACATTTCGCTATGTTTCTCCACCATCCTGATGTGTGTCATATGACTCGCGTGAAATGACGTGTGCCATGACGTGCCGAGGCCTGTCGTATGTTATTGTTAGTATAACGTGTCGATGTTTGTCTCGCAGGCGGCGCCATGAAGAGCACCCGCTCGGGCCATAAGTGGGCGCACGTCAGCTGCGCCCTCTGGATCCCCGAGGTCAGCATCGGCGACGTTGAGAAGATGGAGCCCGTCACCAAGATCTCCAACATCTCGGTCAGTCGCGCGGAGGGTCGGTGGGGATGGGCAGGGCGGGGCAGTGGGTCACGTGTACTGGTCCACTTTTCCAGTGCAGACCTGTTACAGCCACTGATCCCAAAGTAAGTGCACAGTGACCACAACTTATTCGCAGGCGGATGTATTTGTGTATCGTGATAAATCACACCTTATTACGAGCGAGCGAGCGCAGCGAGCGAAGTGAGTTTTCAATATAACGGAAAAATCTCAGTATGAGCGTCCCGGACTCAGATTCAGATTCAGATTCAGATTCAGATTCAGATGTATTCGAATGAGGTCCACACAAAGCGGTGGCTTTTCGCTCTGTCACGTCATACGGTAAAACAAAATGGAAAGTATGACACACGCACACAATCACATATTCATCACCACAATTATACAAACACATCGAAACTGACCATCAGCGACTCGGACACATCTGTGCTACATTCAGCAGCCTATAGCGACATAGTAGCCCGCCTCAACGTAGCCTTAACCCTCGCCGGACCTATTGGTTTTCTACATACGCGCCGGCCGAGGGGGGGGGGCGGGTACGACCCCCCCCCCTCGCCGTTTCGCCCCTGGTGGAGCTAGCGCGTCGCGGAAAAAACGAGCGTGTGCGCCGTTACGAGACGCAGAGATTGGTACCCGATTTTAAGGTCCTAGGTCAACCGGTGACCTCTGAGGTCAGGTCAAGTGCCCCAGGGTACGGTTCAGTTTTTGGTGAATAACTTCGCAAAAAACGGCCGCAGAGCCGCGATTTTGGCAGCATCCTGTTCGCCTTGCTCAGGCGCGTCGAATGATATACTTTTTGTTCGGGTCAGGTCAACTTAGGGTGTTGACCTCAGGTCAAGGTCAGGTCAGCACCCCCAGGTCACGAAATTGGTCGAAAGAGGTCATGTCGCATATCATTCGATTCGGCAGGTCTTCCTGAGTCCATTGGTGGCTTTCCCGACTCGCTAGCTCAATTTGATCGGGAGTTATTGACGAAAAAATAATATGACCTTGATGACGTCATAAATGACGTCACGGAAGGTCACCATTGCAAAAGTGACGCATCTAACCTTGCAAGGAGTGCATCAAATCACGATTCTGTGTGCTTGAGATAGTTGGAGACCGTTTCCTGCGCCAGAATAGCAGTTTGAATTTTTCCCCATTGACTTATAATGGTGAGGTCACGAAAATGACCTGACCTCATATGACCTTTAGGAAAAATCCGAGATATACAAGTTGTGCGACTCATAATGGATACTAGATCCTGCAAGTTTCATTTCCCTGTGGCATCTCCTCTGGCAGTGAGGGCGTTGCGAAGTTGCGACATCTGAAGACCGTGCAGAGGTTCACTTATGACGTCATAGGTCAGTGACCTGACCTGACCCAAAAATGCGGTTGGTGTCAAAAGATGCGGCTTGGATCAAAGGTCAGGTATGCCAAGTTTCAGCTCTCTATCGCCAGCGTGTTCGGAGCTATCGCGAAAAAACCCTATGGGGGGGGGGGGGGGCGGCACCCGCCCCCCCCTCGGCCGGCGAGGGTTAAATGCCGGCATGCCGGGCTCTACGTCCCGGCCCGGCCCGGCCTGTAACGCTTTTGAGAGGCAACCGCTGGACCGATTGGCCTGCGGTCTTTTTTTGTTGGGTAGCCCCATCCCTTCTACCCCGTAATTGACTACTTTTGATGCATCTCAGTGACCGTCGTGGCACGTGCCACGTGAAAAGTCAAGGGTGTTCAAGCTGTTTTGCAAAAGTAGTGATTTTGAGAGGCTCATATCTCAGCAGCCGCTTGGGTGATTGACTTGCGGTAATTTTTGTAGGGTAGCAGCATCCCTTCTACTCAAAATAGGATGCTCTCGATGCATGTGGGTCACCCCCAGTGCACGTGCAAAATACAACAATAAGAGGTGCCAAATTTGTTCCCATTTCAGTAACTCGGTAATTACTGGGGCGATTTCGCTGAAAATTGGCATACAGGTAGGCACCCACCAGGCAATGCATTCCCATATGTTGCGGTTAGGGTGCAGGGGGCGTTTCCAGATCCCGAGAACGGCTGGACCGATTGCGCTCAAATTTGGTACACGGTTGGGGACCAGTTAGTAGGGTGCCGTGCAAAAGTCATTTTGGACCCCGTTTGCACGTGCGCACGTGCAGAATGCCGCTTCCAGATCTCAGGAACGGCTGGGCCGATTGCGTTCAAATTTGGCACACCGCTAGCGACCGGTTAGAAGGGTGCTTTGCGCAAGCCCGTTGGAAGCACCCTCTCGCCCTTCCGCACGTGCAGGACTCACTATCTCGCTCGCTCGTTCTTCGCGCAAAAGGCGTTTTACTGGTTGAATAAAATAATGTCGATTTGATCCAGTCGAGAAGGATGATTAAACATCCAGATTGTGTAAGGCACGTCCCGATACTCGATTAGATAGACTCGTTTACCTGTATTCTGTTAAACTCCCGCTGCTCAATGTACATCGAGTTAAAATATTCACGAAGTTATTTCTCCTCAAGCCATTAAATCTATCTTATGCAACGAGGCAGATTGTCGCATGGAATGCCAAACTCGAAATGCGGATCAATTATTGCACAGGTGCGGTGTTACTTGGCTGTTCTCGTGATCCGTGGCGAGTACCGCCACTGTATTACACCGACAGCTCCAAAGCGTAGCTAAAGGCTCTGCGTCTCAACCTCGCCACCGCAGTCAGACAGTTCTGTGCCTCTCCTCAGGCGCGTCGGTGGGCACTGCTCTGCGTGCTCTGTAAGCAGAAGGTCGGCGCGTGCATCCAGTGCTCGGTCAAGTCCTGCAAGACGGCCTACCACGTCACCTGCGCGTTCAAGCACAACCTCAAGATGAAGCCGGTCGAGGACGAGAGTGACGACGATGAGATTAAACTGAAGGTGGGTCACAGTCTGTCTTCATGCTTGGGTGGAAGTTTGAATAGTTGGGACTGGAGATGGATTACTGACGTTCTATCGGTATGACCGCTGCTTCGAGTGGGTGGTCAATGGCAATATCTTCAGTAGTTGTCTATTGACGTCTCCGCCTGGTGTGTCCCCCTCAGTCGTACTGTCCGAAGCACAGCAAGAACGAGAAGCTCTCCGGGGAGTCTGACTCGGACGGAGAGATGCGCCGCGCCGACCCGGACTCGGAAGCCCAGCGGCGCACCAGGAAACAAAAGTACGTCATTGGTTACCTTCCCCCCTATCCATTAAATTTTGCTATGTGAAGTGATAAGCCTCAAACGTCTTTCGTCATTTCTGCTACCGTCGTAGGCTTATTTTCGCCGACATGTGTTTAATTGATCAACATGACATAATGACAAGCTAATCGCGTCACACAAGTTAATCGCCTCGCTTTGACTTTCAGTGTACAGAACCCGGTTGCCCTGTTACACGGGTGTGACACGGGTGGCTGTATTTTGTGGCACTAACTGCAGCGCTGCTGCACGTGCCCCTCCGGTGGGGCCACCCGCCGTCTCGAGGCCCCTATGTGGCCGTCCGCTGACCGTATGTACCGTATCCGTGTGTGTCTTGCCCGGCGCTGCAGGCTGCAGCAAATCGAGGCCGAGTTCTACAAGCACGTGGACCTGAGGGGCGCCGCCGCCTCCTGCGGGCTGCCCACCGAGGCGCTGGACTTCATCTACAACTACTGGAAGCTCAAGCGGAAGGTACGCTGTCGGGGCTAACATGGGACGGGACTGATGCGTTTTATGTACATATTTGGTATCGGATGAGCAATTCTGTATTGGGTCGTCCAATGTCTACATTTACGCTATGTTCGTTGATAACACATTTTTTTTTACTGGCATTGTGCACCGTTTTGAATCAAACTAATGTTGTTATTCGGTAAATTGCAAGTAACGAGCATTAGGGCACACTTTGTATCATGTAATTCGACCAACTTTACGCGGCTGCTGTATTACCGGTAGCGTCAGTTTTCTGTTATTCCTTCCCACCCGCTAACCCGGCTATGTCACCGATGCGACAGTCGTGCAACAACAAGGCGCTGCTGACACCCAATACGGACGAGATCGACCTGCGCACCGAGCAACAGCAGCAGGACCTCGAGAAGATCAAACAGTTTGTCCATATCAGACAGAACCTGGAGAAGGTAGGTCACTCTAGCATGCGCCGCACCCCGACGGGTCGGCAGCGGCCCCTGTCGGCCCAGATGAGGCTGCTGTCGGGATACTGTGGGTGGCTTTTGTCTATTGTGTGTTTGCAGAGGCCACTTTTGTTGTTGTTGTTTGTTTTTAGGATTTTTTAGGTCAGGCAGTCTTAAAGTAAAATTTAACTGTAATGACTAGTGTTCCCTGTTGGCGTTCGACGATGGTTGGTGCGCGGTAAGTGCTCCATCCGCCTGCTGTGGCGTGCCCCCGCCTATATTCGAGCTCTGGTGAACGCACTTTGTCTGCCGTCAGGTCCGAAATCTGTGCTACATGGTGACCAAGCGACAGAAGCAGTGCCGAAACTACTTCCGGCTGCGCGAGCAGACGTTCCTGCAGCAGGAGGCAGTGCTGCGCGACTCTGGCGCGCGCCTCTCGGTCGAGGAGCGACGCGCCGTGCTGGCCGCCAACCACGTCGGCTCGAACGTGTACGACCGGCACTACTCGCACGCGGGCGCCAGCCTGTACAGCCAACCGCTGGAGCAGCTGCTCGACCTGATCCGCGGCAAGGGCGGCGTGCCGCGCTCGGGCCCCAACGGCGCCGTGCGCCGGCCCGGCGCCGCCGACCCGTACCGGCGCACCTACGTCAACGGCGCCGAGCAGCGGCGCGACCGGCTGGCCACCAGCAGCTGCACCAGCGAGTCGGACGGCGGCAGCAGGAGCCGCGAGCGGCGCTCGGCCCGCTCCGGCTCCAGCACCGAGCGAGAGCGGCGCCGACCGGTGAGTGGGGCCACGGCGGGCACCGCCAGCCAGCGGCCCACCAAGAGTGATCTCTTCGGTGACACGAGTGAGAGTGACGCGGCGGCGAGCGTGGACAAACACCGGCGACCGGGCCGGCACAAGGCGCCGCCGCCGCCGCCGCGCGCCAATAAGGCGGCCGACAGTAGTGACGACGACGTGCCGCTGGCGCACGAGAGCGCAGCGCGACGCGGCCGCGGCCGCGGGCGCCGGACCCGAGCGGCGGGCGGCGCGCGGGCGCCCGGTGCCAGTGACGATGTGACGAGTGATTCGGACTCGCGAGTGCCGTCGGCAGCGGCCGTCACCAAGGGCAAAAACATTTACACCGACAGCGAGTCGGAGGGTGACGAGCGGCACCGATCTACATCGCCCGTCAGTGCAATTCGTACCAAAGCGGCGCTCAAGGCGTTCACGGCGGTCAAGGCGGAGGCGGAGGAAACGCCGGCCGCCAGTGGCGGAAAGCGGCGCGGACGTAAGAAGAAGTCCGACGTGGAGTCGGCGACTGAGGCGGGCGGCGGCCGGAACAAGACGCCCATCCCCGACCTCAGTCTGATCGTGCCGCCGCGGCAGGCGATGCTGGACGCCAACAAACGCATCGCCGGACAGAAGCCAGCCGACGGCTCTGCGGCGGCGCTGGCGGTGGCGGGAGCTCCGGCCGCGCCGCCGCCGCTGGCCGCGCCTGAGCCGATCACGCCCCAGAAGCGGGGTCGCGGTCGGCCACGCAAGTCTCCCGAGGGCCGGGCGGCGTCCAAGTCGCCGCGAGTGGGCGTCCCGGGCCGGGAGCCGCAGCGCGCCGCGCAGCCGGAGCCCGAGGACGAGGGCGCCGGCAACGAGGCGGTGGCGCGTGACACTCGACTGCGGCGGCCGGAAAAGCCGCCCTTTCGAGCAGGAGGGCGGTCGGGGCACAATAGCAAATCTACTCCGTCGCACGCAGTTGCGGCGACCGCTGAAGATGCCGCTGCTGGACCGCCCTCGGTTCCGCAACAGCAGCGGCCAAGGAGTGCTGGCTCATCCGGCTCCAGCAGTAGCAGCAGCAGCAGCAGCGGCTCCAGCAGCAGCAGCAGCGGCAGCAGCAGCTCCAGCAGCAGCAGCAGCAGTGGCAGCGGCAGCAGCTCTGACAGCGCCGACTCCGACGCTGAGGGCGCCGCCCAGTCGGCGGCTGCTGCGCGAGGTGAACGCGGCGCGGCTGGGCGAGCGCGAGCTGTTGCTGACGGTGCGCGCGCCGCCGCCGCCACCGCCGCGGCGGCCGGACCCGCAGCGCCGACGCGCCGACGCGCGTCGATTGGAGGAGCAGGAGAATCGAGCCAAGACACGCAGCAGCCAACAGCCAAGGAAGCTGCGCTCGGCGGACAGCGCAGTCCGCGTGCCGCCGAAACGGTGAGGAAGGTTCGTCCAATGCCACTCAGTCGGAAGAAAGCGCTGGGGCTTGAGGGGCTCGACTCTGGCGGTGGGCGTGACGCCCCGGCCGAGACGCCTCGCCGAGCCTCGCGAGAGGCGGCCGCGGCCAAACCGCTCAAAGGCTCCATCGACAGTATCCTCAGCGAACGGTCGGCGGTCAAAACCGAGTCAACAGGCGGGTACAAGGCTGCCGAGGAGGCTCGCTCGGAGCGGCTCGAAGGTACTACCGACGAGCCGGCACCGGCGGCAGCGGCGGCGGCACCGGCCTCTCGGCGAGCCTCGACGGCCGTCGATGCCGACTCGGAGGTGCTGCCCGCGCAGCCCTCGTCCATCTTCTCACCGCCAAGGCTGAACGCCGGCGACCCCATCTTCGAGTTCGAGACGGAGCTGTTCAGCGGCCAGAAGTCGGCGGCCGCGGCGCCGCCCGCCTCCTCCGCGGCGCCGGTCTCCACGGCCGCGCCCGCGGCGGTCACCACCACCAGCGCGGTCTCCGAGCAGCCGGCGGCGCCGACCGCTCGGCCGATGCCGTCCATGTTCTCGCCGCCGCGGCGGCCGAGCACCTCTGGCGACTCGGCGATCGAGCCGGAGATCGTGGACCAGAAGCCGCCGGCGGTCTCCCGGCCGGCGCCGCGTGCGCCGGTTATCATGGAGACCAAGGAGGAGAGCCAGCAGGTGACGATGGACCTGGTGGAGAAGCTGCGCCTGCAGTACGCCCAGCAGGGCCCCGACGAGCGGCCAGAGGAGAAACCGGCCGCCGCCAAGACACCGAGCACGCCGAGCCGCGGCGGGCCCGGCGACACTCCGACGCACGGCGAGCCGTCCAAGTGGCGGCCGCTGGCGTCTGCGGCCGAGTCGGAGCCGCCAGCCGAGCGGCCCGTCGAGCCCAGCCCGACGGCGGCCGTCAGCAGCCTGCCTGGCAAGCCGCCCCCGCCGCCGGCGCCGGCGGCCGCGCACGCTCCGCCGCGCCGCTCCGCCAGCGGCGAGCACCGCCCGGTGGCCGGCGTCGAGTGGCCGCTGGAGCCGCCGCTCAAGTCGCCGCCGCTGCAGGCCGAGCAGCCGCCGGTGCCGCCGCGCAAACGGCAGGCGTCGCGGCCGGAGCCGGCGGCGGCGCGCTACGCGGCGGCCCCGGAGCGGCCCGGCTTCCCGTCGCCGCCGTGCAGCGCGGCCGGCCTGCTGCCGCCGCCGCGCGGCCTCGGCTCCGTCAGCGTGCGCACGCCGGCCAGCATCAACGCCGCCAACCCGATGCCGTCGCCGTACGGCCAGTTCACCGACATCATGCAGATGCAGCACATGATGATGATGCAGCAGATGCTGCCCGAGGGCCAGCTGCGCGAGCTGATTCAGATGCAGCAGTGGCCGGAGCTGTTCCAGATGCAGCAGCAGCAGTACCTGATGCAGCAGCAGGACGCCGAGGCGGACCTGAAGCGGCGCAAGGAGGCTGAGATGCAGGAGCTACGGAAACAGGCGGAGCGGCACAGTCGGCAGGAGGAGGCCAGGAAAGAGGCCGAGGAGCGGCGCCGGCGCAGCGAGGAGGACCGCCGCCGCCGCGAGGAGGAGGAGCGGCTCGCGCGAGAGGAAGAGGAGCGACGCTGCTACGAGGAGGACCTGCGGCGGAGGAAGGAAGAGGAAGACCGCCGCCGGAGAGAGGAGGAGGAGCGGCTGGCTCGTGAGGAAGAGGAGCGGCGCCGGTTTGAGGAAGAGCTCCGCCGACGCAAAGAAGAGGAGGAGCGGAGGATGCGTGAGGAGGAGGAGCGGCGCAGACGCGAGGAGGAGGAGCGCCGGCGGCGCGAGGAAGAGGAGGAGAAGCGGATGCGGGAGCTGCAGGAGATGATTCGCCGCCGGGAGGAGGAGCGTGTGGCCGCGTTCATGGCCGAGCAGGAGGCGGAGCTGCGCCGCTCGCTGGCGCCGCCGCCTCCCCGTGCCCCTCCCCCGCCGCCCGCCGAGAAGCCGGCTGAGCGCGTCAAGGAACCGCACCGCCCGCCGATGTCGGCGGCCGACCTGGACCAGTGCCGGCTGCAGGCGCTCAACGCGCTCATCACCGGCCAGCAGGAGCAGCAGCAGCCGCCGCCGGCGTCCGTCCACCAGCCGGTGTCCATGCACCAGCAGCACCCCTCCGTGTCCCTGCAGCAGCAGGCGGCGCCACCCTCCCACCACCCTCAGCCGCCGCTGGCCGCGGTCTCCCTCCACCAGCCGCAGCAGCCGGCGCCCGTGTCCCTTCATCAGCAGCAGCCCACTCCTGTGTCCCATCATCATCATCAGCAGCCCACCCCTGTGTCCCTCCACCAGCAGCGGCAGCTGCCGCCCGCGTCCCTCCACCAGCAGCCGCCCGTGTCGCTCCACCAGACGGCCCCGCCGGTGTCGGCGCACCAGCCACTTCCAGTACAATCGCAGCCGCCGCAGGAGGCCGCCGCCGACGTGCAGGCGCCTAAGTCTCGGCTGCAGAGCCAGCCGTCGGCGCAGGAGCTGGTCTCCGAGTTCCCGCGTGTGGGGCCGGCGCCGGAGCCGATCGGCGCCGAGCAGCCACCGGCCGCTTCCACCCCGTCACTGCCGCCGCCGGCAGCCGCCGAGCCGGCCGCGCCGGCACCACCGCCAGAGGCCGAGCCGGCGCCCGTCCGATCCCGCGGCCGACGAGAGTCCAGTCTCAAGGCCAGCATGCAGATTCACAAGATGCAGTCGTCGGACGCCGGCGAAAACGACGCGGACTCGGAGGCAGCGACCCCGGCGCGGCGCGCCTCCGCGGCTCGTCACGTCTCGCCAGGAAAAAGCCCGCGCGCCTCCGAGAGCAAGCCGCCGGGCCGCGGCCGGCGCGGCGGCAAGTCGGCGGCCACTCAGGCGGTGTACGGCCGTGGTCGTGGTCGGGGACGGGGCCGGGGTCGCGGCAGAGGCGCGGCGGCGTCCCGTACTCCCGCTGTGCCCTTCTGCCCCAAACCGCAGGTGCCCAACGACCTGGCCGGCACCGTGTACGACTTCGACGACGACGAGCTGGACGACCTGCCCAAGACGCCGCACGGCCGCATGCGTCCGATCCGGGAGCGGTTCCAGAGCACGGACGTCGGCTCAGACCGTGCCGGCTCGGTCATGTCTGAGCTGGCCGACGACGCGTCCAGTCAGTCGTCGCTGCCGCCGGCGGCGCCGATGCCTCAGGTGCTGCCCACGCTGACGCAGCCGGGCGCCTCCGAGACCAGCATGGAGTCGGTGGCGACGCCGCCGACGCTGCACGAAGCTACCGCTGAGGCCGAGACCGAGCCGGAGGCGGAGGCCAGCGCGCCGGCGGCCGAGGCTCCCAGCGTGACGGACGCGCCGCCCGAACTGCCCGTGGCAGCGCCCATCGAAAGCGTCTGCGACGAGCGCAACCAGCTCAAGCTGAAGATCAAGGGCCCGTTCCTGAACCCGAGCTACAACGTGCAGCCGGCGGCGGCGGCGCCCGAGTCGGCGCCGGCCGCGGCCGCCTCGGCAGCCGCTGTGGCGGTCAACTCCAACCTGCGCAAACGCAAGAAGGAGCTGATTCGGCAGTACGTCAACAGCACGGAGACGGTGGAGCCGGCGCCGCCCGCGCCGCCTCAGGAGGACAGCGCGCCGGTCGGCCAGCGCTTCGTTTGCCCCAAGGCGGTGAAATCTGTGAGCAGCGCGCCCACCCGGGACGACTACCGCGGCCCGGCCGCCGGCCGGGAGGAGGGCGCGGCCTCCGGCGCCGCGCTGCTGCCCAAGCGGCGCGGAAGGCAAGCCCGCGAGCAGGCCGCCGCCGCCTCCCAGGAGACCTCGCCCAACATACTGCGCATCAGCTTCGGAAAGGACGGCCGTGGCAACGAGGTCAAGCCGCCCAAGAAGCGGCCTGGCGAGCTGGCACAGCCGGCCGGCGAGCTCTCCGTCTTCGAAAAGATCCGGCAAGATAACCTGCAATACGGCGATCAAATGCTAGCCAGCTTTGATCAAGAGCCTCCTCCACACAAAAAGGGCAAAAAGAAGAAGAAAAAGAAGGAGAAGGACAAAGATAAGGACAAGGATCGAGAAAAGGAGAAGAAGAAAAAGGACAAGTCTCACAAACACTCCAAAGTACAAATTATCAATAACGATACTGCCGCGGCGCCCAAGCTGATAATCAAGCTGGGCGGTCGCAAGTTGGGCGAGTCTCCGCCGGCGCCCGCGGAGCTCGGCGAGACGCCTCCGCCGCCGCTGTCGCAGCCAACCCCGCCGCCCAGCGACGAGAACGGCGGCGGCGGCCCCAAGGACCTGGTGGTGAAGATAAAGACGCAGCCGGCCGGCGGCGGCGAGCCGGGTCGCCTGCAGCCGCTGAAACTGATGCTGTCGCGGCGCGGCGCGGCGCTGGCGGCGGCCGCCACGCCGCCCCCGCCCACGCTCACGCCCGAGGTGGGCGGCGACCTGGGCGGCGACGGCTGCGACGTCAGGTAGCGTCGGCTCGTGCCGCCGCCGCCACCAGCCTGACCGGTACAAAGGGTCGGCGCGCCGCCGGCCGCCGCCGCCGCCGCCGCCGCTGCCCGCAAGTGATGTGATACTCGCGCGGTCGGGCCGCGGCCCGCAGTAGCCTCACGCACAGCCTCCGCCCGCCGCCGGCCGCCGTCTATTTTGTGATATGCGCCTCAATGTGCGTTGAGTGTGTTGTTTTAGAATTTATCATGCCGAGCGTTAGTGCGTCTGTATGTGTGACTGTGCTGTGTGTGTCTGTGTGCGTGGGAGGGTGTGTGCCAGTGCCGGTCGTGCGGGCGGCCCCAATAAGTGCTCCGTCAGGACGGCTCGGCCTCTGGCCGCGCCCGCCGGACATTCCTGTGTTCCCGAGTGCGGAGTCGCCGGATCGGTTGTCGCCGCGCGCGCTGACGCTGTGCCTCTGTCTCCCGTGCCAGCCTCCTGCCTCCGCTCCTGACTGCCGCGCGATGGCCTCCTGCCGTCCCAGCCCTGACCTGACCCTAGTCACCGTCTCCGCCGCCGCGGCCGTCACCGCCGCCGCCGCCGCCGCCAGCCGCCACCACACCAGGTACGGAGCCGCGCCGGCCGGCTGGTCGGCGCGGCGCCCCTTCTCTGTCTGTCCTCTCTCTCTTCCTCCTCTGCCGCCGGGCCACGGGTATTGTTTTAGCTGGCCGGGTGCGCCGTGACGCGAGCGGCCGACCGCCGGCCGCCGCAGGCACCGGCGCTGAGACGACTGAAGGCATTATAGTGGCCGGAGCGGCGCGCGAGGGGTGTCCGCCCTCCGCGCAGCCGCTCTGAAAGAGCTAGGCTAGCAATGGGAGGTTAGAGTAGCGCCGCGCAGAGGGGCTGATATCGACTGGAGTAGCATTTCTCGCCAGAGGAATCCGTTGTTACATTTGCGGTGAATAATTGTTCGAGGTTCATGATTGGGTTGAACCCAGTCGTTGGCCGCTTTTACTAGTTCAAAGTGAATGGATATTACGTATTTGAGCTGTTCTGCCTGATACGGTTTTTCATTGTTGCGATTTAAATTTGAACCGACCATTGTCGATAGATCCATAATCAAACAATTGTGATTTGAATTTCCGTCTTATCAACTTGTAAATGTTTTATATCCGATCAGCTGTTCAGATTTTACCCAAATTAGTCACGTTTTCTATTTCATTGATTGGTTTGGAGTCACTCTCCCGTGTATCGGGACGTTCGTTTTTATTATCAAATGAAGTGGTCTATCTGGTCTTTCGTTCCGAGTCGTGACGGGATCGGTGCCTGGTCCGTGTCCACCGTTCAAACGCTGTTCAAATTGGCGCTCGGACCCCGCCCTCTCCTGTCCGGCCCTGCCCCGCCCCTACCCGGTCGGCTCCGCCCGCCGGCCGGGGCCGCCTAGTTATAAGAGAGCTTTACTGGGGGCGCAGCGGCCGCCGCACGCGCTAGCCATCGCGTCCGGCCGGCCGGGACATGTGCGCGCGGCGTGAGAGAGGGTGCGCGCCGCCTGCGTGCCGCTTTACTAAGCACGACTACATGTGATCTCGGAAGGCGGCTGCCGCGGGCGGGCCGCGCCGAGAGAGCGCCAGCGGGTGAGCGTGAGAGAGAGCGCGAGAGCGAGTGGGGCGACTGGCGGCCGCGGCGGCCACGAGCCGGCCCCGCCCGGGCCGCGCGCGGCCGCCCGTAGACTCTAGTAACTTAATGTTAGCGCGAATCATGCCGATCGGTAGGTTTTTGTATTTGTGTCATATTTTTGTATTGTGTGTACATAATTTTTCTTTCGTATTTATTGTGAATCTATTGAACTGTTACCTGGCCATACCAAGATGGTTGAATATTGTACATATTGTAAGTGACATTTGGCATGCTGTACATAGCATCGACTGTTAATTATGGCAATTTAATAAATATACCTCGTACTGATGCGTCTGGCGTTATTGGAATTGAACTCACTCCTCAAAATGACTGCCAACTGAAGTGGTAGGAATCAATCGAAATCTTTTTAAAATAGATATGAAAATGTTCAACATTTTCAGCTGATTAACAACATAACAACAAAGAGAATAAACAGATGATACAGTTCAGATATATCGTTCATGGTTGTCATACCTGAGAGTAGACGTCATAGGAGGGCTCAGGCTGAAGGACAAACGTACCGCAGCAAATGGCGACACGGTTCTCCCGGGTCTAGTGCGGTACCCTCTCACCAGGTGGCAGCCAAATTCAATGCGGGACCGTCGCCTGGTCTTAGCATCAGGCTGGTTCCCCATCCGACATGCCACATGGCCGTCAAAATACCCAGCGCTAGGGTTACAACAACAAAATAAATTAACACGCCTAGGCCCCGTACTAGATAGGGTAGAGTGGGGCAAAGCGCCCAGGGCGGGTCAAACGCCCACCCCTCTATTTTATGAAGTGCTCGACTTTTCGAAGAATTCTCGATAGCCATTTTCAAGAACGAGCAGGAATCTACTTTTGCCCCCCTTTTCGGTTCTACAAGTGGGTTGTTCTGGACGTAAGATAAAGATTAGTTTATTTCAGACAATTTTTAGATATTACATGCTTTCATACTACTAAAACTTTGTCTGACAGAGATTAAAGTAGGCAATGAAATTTAGCTACGCAGAACCTGCGGATTTAAGCTACGTTTTGAGCATTTACTGGTTTGCAACACAATCGTCACACGCTTAATTTTGGTGGACTTCGTTTTGAATGTGCTGTTGGGGTAATACGCCCACTTTGGTGTGGGGCAAAACGCCCATCATGGGCGTTTTACCCCTAATGGGAGTTATACAGTACGGGTATTTGCGAACATTTTTGGCTGAAAGTGAGTGTCGGGATACGTTTCTAATGCTCAGGATTCTTATGAAATATGCAATATACTGGTTAGTATCGCCTGGAACAATTTATTCGCACGAACTAATCTCCGCTCTTTAAGGCGGTGACAGCCCGTTGACTGAATGAGGAGTGGGGTGGTAACATCAGTGTTCAAGATGTGTTTGGTGGTGTAATCTATCGATTTAAAGTCAAACGAAATGAGAATGGATAAATACTGCATTCTTTTGTCAGAGTACCGAGCGTGTAATGAAACGTTCAGGACTGGGCGTTATGCCCCACTCATATGGGCGTTATGCCCCATGGGTGGGGCAAAACGCCCGATTTGTAGTCCTCTCAATTCGGATGGCATATCTAAAAAACCATGCATGCCACTTGTTTCTGATGTGTTATTCGAAGAAAGCCAAGGTAATGAGCTACCAGATCAGCTACCTAATTGTCTTTCAAATTTGTAAGATAAAGAGATACTGGGGCTGGAAAGTTAGGGTGGGCGCTTTGCCCCACTCTACCCTATCTCCCTTTAGGTGCTGGACTCTGATTGATGCAATGGGTTAGGTAAGGTTTGTTGAACGATGAAATGGAACATCTTGCAAAGCTTTTTATTATAACCGTAGGTTGTTTGAAATAGTAATTGTGGGTTTTGTTGGGAGCGAGGTCTTACGGCATGAGGTCATTGCAAACCTATGGGGTGATACTGATAGCATAGGGTGATAGAGGACCGTGCGGATCATCGACGGTGTGCTGCAGCGGCAGAGACTGTCCCGCGGTTAAGCTGGAATGTTCAGATGGAACAGCGTGCCCCCCTGTTCAGACGGTCACCCCGGAGAGGGTATCCTAGTGCTAGGTGGAGTGGAGTTGCCCTCACCATAGTTGTTCTGCCTCGGGAGGAGGTTACCGCCAGCCCGGATAGGGGAACGTAAGGGTGGATGCGGATGAGTGGGTCCTGACTTCCTGAGGAAGACAAGCAAAAGAACTAAATGTTGGCCTCTTTCGGTTCTACATAACTATGCCGACTTGATCTGCATCGGTGCCGTTGTTTTGGGACAATTGTCACAGGGATGACAGAATCCGTCTGAGAGGCTACCTGCTAATGCTTGTCCTCGTATGAAAAGGCGCTTCCAAATCTCCACTGGCTACCTTTTCCCAAGACTGTTTGCCTCCAAAGTTACCTAATAGCATTACGGAAATCCGGTAACTTGATAACCGTTATAGCGCTGTTTGCGTGTCATACTCATGGCCACCGGTCGTCTGCATGTCCGCCACACGTCCAACCGACAGGCTAGCTGCCCTCCTGTGCGGGCTCCTGCCCGGTTTGGCACTGGCCGGTGGATGGGACCGATCCCCTGCCCCGGCGGCGGCGGCGGCGCGCGCGCACCGTATACCACCGCCGGCGGCAGAGATCAATACGGGCGGCTGGAGCGGCGCCGCACGCCCGACGGTCCGTGGCCGGTGCACCGCTCGCCGGCGGGTGCAGAGTGCCGCCGCCGCCGCCACCTCCAGTCGCCACCATGCAGAACCCGCCCAGGAAGGTGAGAGCTCGAGACACCCCGTGTGGCCCCTCCCGGTCCCTGACCCCTGGTGAGGGCGCCTCCATCGGTTCTGTTCCGGCCGCCACCGCTCTGTCCACCACCGCCCCCAGCGGTGACCCCGCGCCGCTCGCTGCTGGAATTGACCCGCTCTCGGATCCTCAGTTGCGTCGATTTTGTAGTCGACGGTCGACACTCGACGCTTATGTGTAGACCCCGAGTCACCTGTGTCGACGATTAGGGCATGCGGCTGCTTGAAGCGCGAAGCTCTGCTGAGGTGGAAAAACCTGGTCAACTGATTTCAGTAGATTGGTTATTTTCGTGGCAGTAGCGGCGGAACATCTTCAATTAAGCGGGGGCACTGCCGACTTTTGGTACCGTACCATTCTTTCCATGCACGGCCATAGGGCTAATGTTAAAATGGCAAAATCGGGGGGGCACGGTGCCCCGTTGCCCCCCCCCCGTTCCGCCGCTTATGTTTCGGGGAGAGAAAGCTTCCTTATTGTAATGGAACCCGGACCATTTGTACTGATCGGATATTATTGGTTCAAAGACATCGATTATCACCATTCCTCAGTTTATTAGAACGCTGGAAATATCCAAACAAATAAGCGCTGATTCGCCTCAGCCATGTAATCTGAGCCGTCCTCTGCACGAGGGTGCTCGGCGAATGCCAATGCAGCAAACGCTCGCAGTTTCCATGGTGACAAACCTGAGACAGCTCGCCGAGACACCAGCGTCGTCTTACCGAGGAGCGTCTAATGAACGCCGTGAGCCGCGTACTTATGTTCAGGATCGCTGGTGTCATCAGATAATGACGTTAGCTCCGCTCCCAACTCGCGTTAGTGGTGAGCTTTTGCCTTTTATGCCACCATGTTGCAGTTTGTTGGACCCACTGTTGTCTTAGGAAGGCGATGTTTTTCTTCATGTCAAGACACTAAAACATTGTACTTTCATTGGGAGGACGATTGACAGGAAACGCTTGTGTGAACGCCATGCAGCTTTAGGGCCGAGGAATCTGGAAGTTATTGGCTTCACGAGGCCGAGCTCTGGTTCTCATGCTCTGCGGCACAGCCTACCCACAGCCTGTGATGCTATAAACCTGCCGCTAGATGGCACTACTAGTCGACGCCTGAAGCTAGGCTGTGCCGTAGCGCGCCCGTCTACCGCTGTTGCTTGCAGTAGCGGCGGAACACCTTCAATTAGGGGGGGGGGGACACTGCGGAC